TAGCACAATGAGAAAGAAATGCCAGTAAACCAATTTTAGTGTTTAACCCTTAGTCCCGATAGTGCAATGCCTTATATATAAAACTAAATTTTAAAATTTAACAAGTACCTTTAATGAGAAATCGAAGAACTGTTTTCGGATACATTCGCAGCAATGAAACAAACTAGACTTAAGTTATTTATGCAAATTATTTATTGTATTCGTATGTTATATGATGCCTTATTAAAGAAAACAAATTTTAAAGTTGCCATTTTATTGGAGGTGATCGGGAAATTTGGTTGACGGCCAAAATAATGGAATTTTAAATCTGTAACTTGGATGAAATGAGACACACAACGGAGAGATACTTTTGAAAACTTGAGAAATCGATCCCAATAGTTTTCTGGCTAATTTAAATAAAAGATGTTTTGGCTGATTTATAAACATTTATTCCATAAATATTAAATAAATCTTTACTGACAATTTAAAATTATTAGTTCCTAAATCGATTTCCTTTACGTATTTGTTTATTAAAAGAAGTTGTTTTTTAAAAAACCTTTGGAAAATTTTAAGTTAGTTAAAAATTTTAATTGCACCGTCATTTCCTGATCACCTGAACTGGGTTCCCCCAATCAGAATGCGGTCAATTCTCGCTGAAATTCCAAAAGAAGTTTCACCTGCTGGTCCGTGCATTTGATTCTAATTCCGTGGCCCAATTCTATGCCTCTTGGGACTGCTCTGTAATACCAAATAGGGGCGACGTGCGCCCAAAATAGCCGCGTCTCAGGGGGCCATTAATTTATTTTTTTTTTTTTTGGGTGTCGCTGTGGGCCCAGCCAATTTGCGCATGCGCAGATCGCGTTTGGAATGCCAAATGATGTTCGCAAAATGTTTGTAATAAGCCATTCGAAATTGTGTTTGACAAACGTCTGACAAGTCGAGCGCCGAATTTATGGGTAATAAATTTGACTGCATTGTCTGGCTGAGTAACTGAGGATATTAATTTTGAATAAATGTCTGGGACGACAACTTAACTTGAATAAATTTGGTAAAGCAAAGTTCAGAAGGCCGAAAAGAAAGTCAAATTAATCGTAATCACCTTCACACGCATTCTGACACGTTTACACGCTACATTTTGATATTGACCTTGTTTAAATTAATCGAAAGAAAACTAAAGGCCATTAAAATGCAGCATGAGGAAAAGCAAATTGACATGCCGCAACACGCTTGTTATCAAGTGGGAATTTCGTGCAAAGAAATGCTTATCATTAGCAAAATTAAAATCAATGAAATTGGCCATTAAATTCAATTGACTTGGCCCAATGCGTGGGAGCAAGTCCAAGTTCCAAGGGGATTGGATTGGATTGGATTCGAACTGGAACCGAAGGTGTCTGCAAACGTGTGCAACATAATTTATCATAAGAGAAACAGAAATAGTTTAGTTTTCAGCACTTTCTAAACTACGCTTCTGCACAGAAAGAAAGCCGGATTAATTCTACATTGTTTTTGAATTATCGTTTTTCAATTGTCTCCTTGGACTTAGCCATTATCCATAAGATATTCTTTGGATATATTTATTTATTTTATAAAATATTTTTAAATATATATATTATATTTCACATCTTAAAAATTACTATAATTTTTTAATTATATTATACATAACATAAGCTTGCCTTGAAAATTTTATTAAACCTTGACATACTCTTGAAATTTTTATTAAAAAACATAATTGTTATGGGTATAATTGTTTGATTTTTTGTAATTTATTAAATTTTCTGATGCTCTGCAAAATCCCAACTTAATACTTTACAGAGGCAACAAACTCTTTATTATTTCTCACAGTGCATATTGGACTTTGTGTTATCTTTAAAGTGGGCGTTGGTGTCAATCTGGATATCTGGTGGGTGTGGCCCCAGGCCGTATATCATGCAGATACGATCTGTTCTCGATATGTTGCCAAAAAACAAAAGTCGCTAAAACAATCAATTGAAATTCTCGATGCGCGAGTGTTTGCTCAATGGGGATTGGGTTTTGGGTTCGTATGGAATAACGGTGAGGGTAACGTGCAGTGTTTGCAAAAAATCATAAATAGTATCAATGGATTTTGGTCAAAAAAAAGGAAGTGTGCGTGGGTCAGGAGATTTGGCAAATAGTTTTTTGGATAATTTCTAAGCGCGTTCCACGGAATGCTCTACTAAGTGACAGGCGACGACGTGCCGCTGTCAGGTGAACTGTCAACTCGGGCATTTGATGGGAGCTTAATTAATTTAACTGCTGCTAGAAAGTGGCCCTGCATCGCCCGTTGCCCATCACGTATACGCAGCGTGCACGCGACTCAGTGATCAGTGGCAGAAAATGAAGGGCCAATTCCATTTCCAATTTAATTCCAACGCCCACATGTTTAATTTCAGTTTTTGAAATTGAAAAGCACTCATGATTTTCCATTGCAGTGCAATTTGCATTTTAGAAAGTGTTTAAGTGTTTTTTCGCTGCATTATAATCGAGGCTGAAAACTCCAAAAGTCCAAAAGAAAAAGTCAAAGTCTGTTTTTGCTGCTGCATTTTTTTAAATAATACCCAACTTTTTTCCTCCTGTCTATTAATAAATTTATTTATCATAATTCCAGTCATGATTCTGATTTTTGCTTGAACGTAGAATTTCTGCCTCAACCTCAACACGTCTACTTGTTGTCAACTGGCTTATCTTTGCACGATTCGCTCTGGGCTTGGGCCCTTTATGTCTTTCTTTACTGGCAAACATAGCATGCAAAAAGCATTCTAAGTTACTTTGTTGCCAAGTGCAATAAAGTGCATGAAGGCATGTGCTTTATGAGCTTGATTAAAAGGAGTCATTAAGTCATAAAGATTTTTATCAGGAGAATTTATTTATTTAATCGTTCTTAAAATAAATTTTCTGCATTTCAGAATACAAAAAAATACAAAATTTGATTTATTATTCTTGGTTCGAATAATTTTGTTGATTTTAAAGTAGATTTTAAATGACCTTCTCTTACATCCATGTTTAAGTCTCTTTTCCAGATAGTAATATTAAAATAGAGAGCTTAAAGCACTCTGATAAAACAAATAAATCTTTAAATGTTAAAACGTTCTTAATATTTTGTTTATAAATCATTTATTAAAACGTCGCTAAAAGGAACACTTCCCAAACGCATTTCCATAAAAATAGTAATTTTTGTATAAGATTTCTAAAATACTTTTACAAAAATGCAGACAAAATAGTTAAGTACATTATCAGTACAAATGTAAATACAAATTTAACAACAATTTAATATTTAACCTTGGCAACAAGATCTTTCAGAGCCCATGTGTTCACCTAGGTTCATTATTATGCCAGGAGCTTACAAGATGAACAACATCAGATAGTCCAAAAAAAGTACCTGTGATCAGCCGCCTTCAACATTTATGAGTAAGTACAGCCATGAAAACTAACTAGCGCCACTGGTAGTTAATACATAATTAAAAAGAAATATCATAATTATTTATATTTCTGTATAGCTATTTCCGATGCCATTGGCCTCTGGGGCTTTCGCTTTTTTGAGCTGCGATGTGGTGTACGTGATTTTGATAGAACCAGAGGGATAGAGAAGTGGAAGGGCGGGCACTAAACACTAAACATGAAATTAGAAATTCATAATTGTCGCGTAATACGGCACCACAAAAAATACGTGGACTTCGATGGCGGCTCGTTCGCATGCGAAATGGTAGCACACCATTCTAAATTGCTAATGCGCCTTAATAGGCTTCGCTTATTTTGGGAGTTTCGGATGGGATTTATTTTTATTTTTCAGTCTCTTCATTTTTTTTATGATTTTTTTTTTTGGGTGTGTGAAAGTCACTGCATGATGATATTTCGTTTGTTGCATAATCCTTCCACGCAGAGTGCCCAGGGCCAAGCCAATGAACCATCGAATTGTTGTTTGCCCATCTCTAGAAGAATCATGCTATACCATCTACCAACATATACCATAAAATTGCAATCTCACGTCGTTGGCGGGGCAATCTTTCGAGTGTAATCTGCTCTGTGGTCTCGTGTCTTTGTCACCCATCTGCCTCCTAATGGGCAAACAATTTCTTGGTAATAAGACTTTGTCACCGAACTAAGTGGGTTCTCTGAGAAATCTTGGCAGCCGGAACTGGAGGAATCTTGAATTTCAATGTAGGTATGGGGTTTAATAAGGTATTTACTTTTAATTTTAAGGGCAATCACTTCAAAAAGATGTATTTTGGATTCCAGCAGAATGAATATTATTCGTTATAATAATAATGAGTTCCTTCTGAAATTCTGGGAAAAAGTATTTTCTTGCGCTATAAATTGTGTTCACAAGAAATTTCGGACTAAGCAAGACCACTTTTAGAAGAAGATTTAAGCATTGATCTTATTAAAAATAAACCGATTTCCCACCATCTACCACCATCTAATTAACAATGGATTAAATATTATATGTTTATTAAAATGTTTCTTACTAAGATTAATGGGGACCATTTTTATTTGTCTAGGAGGAATCACGGTAAGATAGATGTTTATGTTTTACTACTTTTAAAGCCAAAATATGCCAGAAGTATTTGTGCCCTGGCAGGTAATATTATGGAATTTAATATTTTTAAATCTCGCACTTATACTGTATCAAATCTTTAGAAGATCATGGTCATGACCATCCTCTTTTCCACAGCTCTTTTTCGTTGTCAGCTAACTCTTCAACTCTAGTTCCACACAACTTGGATTCCACATACATCGGCACACTTTAAGCGCAAGCGCGCCAGACTTACCGACACCCACACCAACACACAGTGCGTATACGCAATGTCACGTCGGCAGAGAAGAAGAGGGTTCCACTTGGTAATTGTGTGTGTGATTGTAATTGAGTTGTTACTGTACCACAGTAAGTACCCACCTTTCTTCGGTCTTCTTTTCTCTGTGTGTGCGTGACTCTTTGGTTTCTCTGCCTTTTTGCATTCTTAATAAATCAACGCGAAGAATATATAAATTGGGCGTCGCGGTGGACGGTCGCAGTTAGTATTTTCCAGCCAACGGTGCCTCACAGGTGTGCAAAGAGTCCGCAGTGCGAGTGCAAGCTTTGGTTTTACTTGAACCCCATAAATAAGCCTGGATATCGAATTGGATTAAACAGAACCCACACTAACTTCGTAAAAATCAAACCAAAAAGAAAAAGTCCCTGGATTATCGAATGTTTATAGTGCCCAGTGATATATATAGTGACCATAGCTAATCTAAACTGTTTGTGAAAATGTGGACAACCGTGTGCTTGCTGCTCGTACTGATGGCAACCTGCAGTGCAGGACCACTAAGTAGCCACCAGGTGAGTAATCGGATATATCCAGCAGACAGCTTGACCACCAAAGTCCACTTCCGTTCGCCTTAACGGAAATGGAGAACTGTTAATGAAATGTTTGCCAGCCCGCCGAGCCATACGCTTGAAATTTTAATGGGACACGGCCTGGACTCACTGTTGAGATTTGCATATTTGAATATGCCTCTCTCCTACATCTTTGGCCTGGCTTATTTGGTATGCCAAGCGTTTAGCCTTTTTTAACGGCCAAGACTGAAAGACTTGGTCTAAGGTATTTATAGGCACTCTTGCAGGTGGCTTAATGACAGGTAGAAGCCGGCAAGAATTCGCCAGCGAAATCACTGAAAATGGCTTCCAAGAATGGCCAATACCAGAGTGTTCGATTTGCATTACTCATTACTGGGGGGGACCTTTTCGGGAAAGGTCTCTGACGACTGAAAGTTTTCGCCCCAAACTCATTGAAATGCAGCGGCCAAAATAATAAATTAATAACAAATCCATATGGCTAAAATATTATGTGATAATATTTCGGTGTTCCATTCGAAAGTGACTTCAATTGCAGTGCGGTCCATAAAAGGGCGGCAACAGGTGCGAAGTGCACAGTGGGTTGGGTTTAGGGTCTCCATTTCGATTCGATTCAATTCGATTCGATATAATTTTCACTTGCCAGCGCGTAGACAAAAACTAGAACACAAGTGAAATTTTTCGGGTGCCTAGCCGATCGCAGAGTCACGTGCTGAATTTATGGGATTATCCATGCTAATCACGTACCTCGTTAGCTGAATGGATCGTACAGCTGGCTAATCATACACAGAAAATAAAGTTGGAATACGATGTATTGTTAGGACACCTTTTCGTAGAGTTTTCAGAGAATCCAGATTCCTAAGACATCTTATCAAAATTGTTTGAATATCTATTATCTTTTATAATTTCCATAATATGTATATTATCTTTTGGTTTTTTTTGTTCTTTATTTTTTGAATAATATAACAAATAATTAAATTTTTAATGATGATAACTTAACATTATCAGATTCTAAAGTTTTTGATACAATATATCAGCATTTTAAAAAAGGAAATAAAGTTTTTATAATTGAAACAATCTAAAAATCTCAGAGATGAGTAGATAAGCTAAACTCTTTCTATAGCGGTAAAATTTACCCCAAACATATAAGCTTTTATTATTCCTTCTCTATTCCACAGAAAAGAAAAGCCACTGTGACTCGTGAGGACCCTGTGCCTGCTGAGGTGGAAATGCCGGAGCAGACCGAAACGGAGGCTGAATCAGCTCCGGCGGAGGCTTCTTCCCTGGGAACCCTCACCCTACCCAGCAATGCCACCTCCATTCGGTCGGACATCACGGATAACTTCTCGTGTGCCAACAAGACGTATGGTTACTACGCGGATGTGGAGAACGATTGCCAGATCTTCCATGTTTGCCTGCCGGTTACCTATGCCGATGGCCGGGAAAACACCTTCCGCTGGAGTTTCATCTGCCCCGAGGAGACCATCTTCAGTCAGGTGGGTGTCCACGAATTGATAACATTAGCTATTTGTTAATTAATTGAAACACTTCCTTTCAGGAATCTTTCACATGCATGCGTCGCGAGGACATGACCATCGAGTGCTCAGATAGCTCTAGGTACTACGAACTGAATGGCAACTTTGGTGCTCCTGTGGAGGAGGAGAGCAAGCCCACTCCTATGGAGAGTGAGCAGCCTGAAAAGGAAGAGGTGGAGTCCGAATCCAAGCCAGAACCTGAGGCGGAGCCAGAGGTTCCGGCTGAGGAACCTGAGGTTCAGACCGCCAAGCCCGTGAAGCCAGTCAAGGTGCAGAAACCCAAACCAAACCGCAGGAAGCCTCAACCCCAAAGAAAGGTTCCCGTACCAGTAACAGCTGCTCCTGAAATGGAGGCTGCTCCGGAACAAGTAGCTTTTGCAGAAGTGGAGTCCAAGCCCATTAAGCCACAGCGTTTTACCATTCGACCAAACAAGGAGAGACCCCAGGCGTTTAAACCAGCCATTGCTGCTCCACCCATGCGTAATGAACTCTTCAATGGCCTTCGCAAACGTCCAGCGATATTCAACAAGCCAACTACCATAAAACCGGTGGAGGAAGTGGTGGAAAGTGAACCGGCAGTGACCGAAGCTGTGGTCCAACTCAGCGAGCCCCAACCCACACTCAAACTGCAAACTCTGTTTGCCGAGCCCGAAGTGATTCCTGTGGAAATCCATGAGCCAGAGGTTCAGGCTTCCGAGCCAGCTGTTACTTTTGTTCAGCCGGAGGCTGTAGTTGAAGAAATGGCCCCCACAAAGGTCCAGATTGATAGCAAGATCGAGGATATGAAGCCCATAGAAGCTTTTGAAGAGATTCCAGCTGTTATTGTGGAAAGTTTGGATGAATCAAAGCCTCAGGAAAGCGAGCAGGAAGAAACTAAGATAACTGAAGAGGTTAAGCCAGAAGAAGATACCAAGCCAGTGGAAGATATCAAGCCCGAAGGAGAAATCAAGACAGATGAAGAGATCAAACCAGAGGATGAGATCAAACCAGAAGTAGAAACTAAACTGGAAGAAGAAATCAAACCAGAGGAAGAAATCAAACCAGAGCAAGAAATCAAACTAGAAGAAGAAATCAAACCAGTGGAAGAGATCAAACTAAAAGAGGAAATTAAAGCCGAAGATGATCCCGAAGTTCCAGCCAAGGTAGAGGAAATCCATGAGGTTATGTCCGATCAAATAAAATCAGAACCAACTATTATGGAAACAAGCAATTCCCATGAAGAATCCCTGAGTCTTGAAACTTTAGAAGCAGCCAAGCCAGCAGATGCACCCGAAAGTATGCCAGCCACTCCCGAAATGGAGCAACATAGTCCACTGGTGGAGGAAATCCTAGATAATAACCATGATGGAGAGGCACAGGAATCCCTGGGCGGTTTCAAGCCAGTAGATCCTGTGATGGCCGCCGAGGCCGAACAACTGATTACCGACTTTCTTAATACACTCAAAAAGAACGAAGAGAAACCAGAGACTTACATGGCAGTGGATAATGCGGATGTGTCCATTGAGGAGGCCAAGTTGCCAGAGCCCGAAATTGTGGACAAAAATGCCTCAGTTGAGGAGCAACTGCTGGAGGAAACGGAGGATCAGAAGTCTCAGAAGCCGCAGATGATGCAGGATTCTCCTATTATAAATATTATGCAGGTGCAGCATATGCCCATGGACTATCAGATCCCGGTGAAGGTGATTCCCATGGAAGTTCAGCCTGTTTCCGCAATCTCTGAGGGCTTAGAGGTTGCCAAGGAAAATGATCCTCAGGAAACTGCTGCCGAGGAAATCAAGGAAAGTGCTCCTGAAGAAATCAAGGATTCAGCTCCTGAGGAAGACAAGGAAATACCTAGCGAAAATATTCAGGATATACCTGTGGAGATACTAAAAGAAACTTCTGAGGAAATCAAGGAAACTTCACCTGAAGAAATGAAGGAGTTTGTTCAAGAATCCCAAGATGAGCTGGTGGCCAAACCAGAAGAAACTCAACTAAATGATGACCAGCAAGAGAGTCTAGTCACCGCTTCCTACATGCCCTCGATCAGCATCGATGACATTGTGGAGCTGGTCAAAGAACGCCTGGATCAGACGCCCAAGAAGGATCAGATGGCTCCCATGGAGCTGATCCTTACGCCAGGAGCATCCGAGCCCATGACTCTGGTTCAGAGTAACACGGAGCAAACGGAGCAGGCGGAGCAGGAATCCCAGCCAGAGGAGGAGAGGGAGGAGCTCATTCTGCCGATCTACAAGCGCATCGCCGCCGCTGAACCCGCCATGTCCAAGGTGCAAACGCTGCCGGTAACGGTGAGCAAGGTGGAAACGGAAGCTCAGCCGGAAACTGAATCCCAATCAGAAGTCCGGGAACCCAAAATGGATGCTCGCAAGCGTCGTTTTCTATTCCGTGCCGATGCCAGTTAAAGAGAACAAGTGAGAGAATGATACAGAGGGATCGATAGCAATCCTGGCGAGGATCAGACTCCTCCCACTTAGCCCGAACCGGAACCCCGTTCACCTCCTAGTTCCCCCCAAAACGCTATCCCACTCATTTGCACCTAGGCAAGTTTAATTTAATAATTTTTTGATTTCCTAGTTTTATGGCCATTTCTTAAAGGAAAAACGTGCACGAGAGTTGAAATTTAAGTTTAGAAATTGTTGTTCCAACGAGTTAAAGAAACAAATTACACAAACAAAAAAAATTGCAAAAAATTTTAAAATAAAAAATATTAAAAAATCAAATCGTTAAATTTGTTTGACTTAGGTGGGTAAAATTATTGTGGAAGGTATTTGTCGGCCAGCTTTTCAACTCCATCGTGCAGAGGTTTGAGTGTCCTGTGTCTTGCCAATTCGCATTCAATCTCTGAACGATAGAGATGGTCAGCTTAAAAGCAACATAAGATCAAAATTACATAAACATAAAAACTTGACTAAAATAATTAACAGTTGAGGGAGTTTATTAAAACAAAAAAGTTGACTTGAGAAATTTAAATATTTCATTAAACAAAAAGTTAGGGCAAAATTTTTGAAATATATTAATTTATTTCCCTTTTTTTTATCTTTTTGTACTTTGAAAGCTTATAGTTTCAATCTTAACTATCAATATTATCCCTATTTGTTGCATATATCGAAATTATATGTTGCAAAAGCGACTATTTAAAGCCTCTAATAATTAAATAAACAAATGACTTGAAAGACGAACCTTTAATTAGTGCTCACCTAACAATAAGAAATAATACCCTTAAACAAAGGTTAATAAATAATCATTCTTATAACTGAATCTAAAACCAAATTGCAATCAAAACACAAATATACAATATTCGTAGTTTATTATAGAAAATCGTTTACAAATCGTATTAACACTTAGGCTTTGGGTAATTAGCTGTATGAGGCAACTACCGGGTGAGAGAACTACAATTTACAAATACAGTGAACACTGGACGTTAAGTAACTAAAGACATCACATTGGCATAAGTACAGTACAGTGAATCCCCCGACTACGCCTCAGTTTCCTGTTCCTGTTCGCCGGCCTGGATTTCCTCCGGCGTTCGCAGATCGATGGCGAACTTTTGGCGCGTGGGCGTGATGGTGTCGCTGGGCGTGCCCTCATTACCATCCTCTTCGCCGGACGCCTCCTTGACCCGTCGCGAGTAATCCTGGAAGGCGGCGGCCAGGGCAAAGGTCAACTTGCGCGCCATCGCCCGACTGTCGCAGACGAAGGCATGCACCTCGAAGGGATGCGGACTGGACTCGTCCTTCACCACGATCATGGCAAATACCCTTGTGTAGACCAAATCCTGAACCCCATACGAAATGGTGTCGATCGGATAGCTCCAGTGATTGATGCTCGCCTTGGGCGCAATAATCTCCAGATGCACGCCCGCGGTGGACACTTTCAGGTCGCAGTTGGGCAGCACCTTGTTGGGCGGCAAGTTCTTGGCCACGCCCACCATTAGGTCAACGGGTCTTCGAGTATACTTAATGCCCCACAATCCGCGAGCCACCTCAGAACCAATGTATTTTACCTGTACGGAGAAAATAATATCGTTTAATTTGATTTATAAAATTCTAGCTATGAAATTAACTGTGGTGGGAGTAGTTTAAAGTAATTTTTATTTTAACAAGCGTTCTTTGAAACTTAAAAGTATAGGTTTCCTATTCTACGTGAGTAAAAAGTGATGTTTTCATGGATAGTGTGGCATTATTCATCGGTGGCTTTGGCTTCCGCTGCGCATGCGTTGCCGTTAGAGTCGCTTCATTTGCATCCGACCTGCGACCGGATGTCCACAGCCAAGCCAAAAAGTTGTTGTTGCTGCTGCTCATGTGGTGCCACCGCCACACCCCTCTCTCCCCCGACCGCCCCCAACTGAAGTTCAGCAGGGCGTAACGCGTGCGTGTCTGGCTTTTTTTTTGGCCATGTCTCGTTTGCGGGTGGTAGGCCAGCTCATATGTGTGCTTTTGTTCGGTTTCATATTTTTAAAAATTAAACCATAAAAAACATAAAGTCAAAGTTTAACTTTAAATGTACAAAGTTTTTTTCTTAAGCATTTGAACGCCCTTAAAAAGAAAAACTAAAAAATAAAAAAGGCCTTATAATTTTTACGTCATAGAAAACACATAACATATTTATGAAGACTTCGAATTTTTGATGCTGACAGATGTTCGAAGATTAAGAATTAATAAAGCATTTGCGAGTAAAATTTTTGAAAATGTTAACTTGTTTTGAAAATGTCATTTGAATTTATTTAAGTTCAAATTTGCTTAGCTAGTTTTGTACAAGTCAGCATTAAAATAAAAAAACTACAACGTGTTTTCTATTTATATTTCTCAACCAATTTACTCTCACTGTATTTTTGATCATATAAGAGGTTTATGAGCATTGGAACCTGAACTTGCGCCACTCATTTCACAGCATTTAAATACGCATTTCGCAATGTGGACACTCACCTTGAACGTTATGGGCAAATCCTCCACATTGACCTGACCGTCCAGATCGGTGGTGCTGCTGTTGTTGGAGGCCATCTTTTAGTGGTTCTATATCTTTAGGCCGAATCACTTGGTATTTGGCCAAGGTGCAAACGAAAATCCACCGTTAAACACAATCACCGCAAAACAACTAAAAAAGGGCGCAAAAAATATGAGGTTGAGTAATGCTCTCATTAAACGTATCTCGGGGATACATTATGCAGTGTATTACAGTTCACATCCACCGTTGCATTACCATATCTTTACCGTAATCTCTCGATTTTACACGGTTCACTTTGTGTGCGGTGCGCTTTTTAAACATATATGTGCATAAATATATTCCACTGAATTTCGGTCGACTAATTGTTCTGTGTTTGGGTTTGTTGTTGCTGGCGCCGGCTACCGATTGCTACTGAACCCGCGATCGACGTCAAAAGGTGTCGCAAGTTGTAGGTAACTCCAGGTAGTTCCTCTCCCTCTCGCTCACTCTGCCCCACTCCTCTCGCTCGCACACAAGTGAAAAGAGCACAGGCAAAACAAATGGGCTAAACAAAAGCAGCGCTCAGATAACTATTTTTTCTCTCACGCAGTGTCGCTGTCTAAGCACAGCCAACTGATATTAGAAGCAACAGTCATGCACTGAGAAAAAATGTATAGTAGGAAACTTAAATAATAAATTAAAACCTAACGAAATTGCTTAAGTAATTAACTTTATTTGTTGTGGGGTAAAATATTTCACAGGCAACTCAGATTTGAAGCAACAGTTATGTAGAAAGAGAAATTTATATAAATAAATTTTAAAAAATGTAAAACACTCTCAATTTTTTCCTATTAAAGACTAAAGTCTTAAAGTCGTCTATTAATTCTCTACATTGTAAATAAACCATTAAATACTTCAATGAGTAACTTTATCTGCTATAAGATATAATATTTCAGAAATAATATGTGATAACTATTTTTCAGTGAAACAGTGGAAATTTCTTCCATTTTAAATCTTATCAAAAATTAACCCATAATGTTGCCACGGATAACCTAGTTGGCATATTAAAGGCATATTTGTTGGCATATTTGTTCTTAATAAACCATTATGTTCTTTAATGAGTAACGGTATATGTTGTAAAGTAAAATATTTAAAAAAAACATTATGTGTGAATTTTTTTCAGTGAAAAGGTAGATATTTTTTCATGTATGGTCAAGCATTTTAAATCTAATCAAAAAATAATTATTAGGTAAAACCTGAATGTTGCCACTGATAACCTAGTTGGAAAATTAAAGATTTCACCCAAGCAAAGTATTCAATCAGCAAGTTGTTCAATCACTTTTTCCACACTCACTATTCGCTGCTCACTAGTTATTAGAAATGCATTATTAATATTTCCTCAAGCAGCCCGTTGACCACTTCAAACACTCAAGAAATATAAAAGCATTATGCCGGATATATATACAATGGCTATGGTGCAATAGTTGCATGTCTGCCAATTAATGACCAACAAAAGAAAACCGAATTAAAACCAAAACTAAAACGGAATGAAATGAGTTCATTGCAATGGATTTTACCTGTGTGACGTCAATTTGGTCGTAGCGGGGGGAATTACCTGTGCAGCACACTATTTTTTATGTTTTTTTGTTCAACTCTGACTACTATTTTAATGCCAATGACCCAAGCGGATAACAAGTGACAATGGCCACTAGTACAAACAAAACAAGTGACTATTTGCGTTCTCTACTGCTTTTTTTAACGCTATTCACAAGTTCCCTGATCCAGATTTTCATGTAGATCACGTTCATGGCTTTTGGATTTCATATTACCAATTCTAAAGGCCACCGTTTAAGCGATTAAAGCGTTTGCAAAGCTGTTTTCCTTTTAGAGCGATTATCTATAATATATATTTTAAAGTTCCGCTCACTTTTTCACTCTCCATATCTTGGTTTACTTTTGGTTTATCGAATAAATTGCAGTCACAAAACAAAAGCCCAATTGTTTCCGATTTTTATTTTATTTTCCTATATGTAATTTCAACACTTTATTGCATTGCAATATGTATATCTTACTATTTCTAATAAAAGAAATGAGTTTATTAAAAATATTAAAAATGCTATGATTTAATTTGAAAAGACCAATACATTATTAAAATGTGATATAAGTTTTAGGTTTTGAATAGTTTTTACATGTAGAGCGGTTCAGCAAGAGTTTACGCCTATAAAAAGTACAAAATTATAACATCACCAACCATAACAATCACAATATCAGACACAGATACAGTAGCACTCGCAGTCCAATTTAGATAATTTTCCACTGGACATTTCAGTTTAAACGGTGCCAAAGCCGGAAGCTGCTCATATGAGCATATCTCCTCTGCTCATATGTATATATGTACCTTTCTATATCATAATTTGTTTACGGGCACCGATGATTACTGTCATTTGTCAAACACATAGAATTGCGCATGTGGAGCTTGCACTAAATCGCTGCTTTTCAAAATGAGTAATTCTCCAAGTTTAGCTTCTTTTATTTACACTTAATTTTTTTATGGTCAACACTACCAAGTTCCAATTGCCTGTTATCACATAACGAAACATTTGCCCATTCCTCTAATCTTATCACTCACGCACACGAGAGAAACTAGCTCAGTTAAAAGGTAAAGGTTTTATTTTGTTTTTAACTCAAAATGCGTCGAATGTCTTTAGTGAAAATGTATTAAATTGTAATTCCGGATTGATTGTTAGGGTAAATCACATTGCATTTACCGATCTTGATGTAGCTTTTTTTTTGAGCACCTGTTTCCTCAGCCGGTTAATATGCGACTAACGAAAACCCCAGTGATCGTGATCAGTGATGCCATATTGACCATTTTTTTTCTGGCTTTTCAAGTAGTAACCAAGTCTTAAATAAATTGAATTATACTTTGATATCCTCTACATGTTTATTTAATTTTTATAAAAATTTCAACATTTTGATATAAACAGTTTTAAATATTATTCGGCTTTTATCCACTTTTTGTCTAACATTAATCGCTAACATTACATCGCTAGTTTAATGCTTTTTTTGTTAGCCAGTACATAAACCAAATGTTAGCGTAAACTTAAAAAGCTTGGTGTTAAATATTTAAAACCAAACATTTTATTTAATATTATTAATAATAATCCCATTACTTTGGCAAGACAACATTTATCAAAATTTTGTATATCTTTTTCTTTTTTTCTATACTGATGTAAGGCAAAATATTCATTGAAGGCATAACAGTAAACCATTGTTGGAAAATATGCGTTGAAATGTCCGCTTCGATGTGTAACTTGCTTGTAACTGGCATACGAGTCGTATGAGTAATTTTTTGAAAACCTTAAAGAAATTTAAGAGCACATCATTTTCGTTTGAACAAATTTATTGCCCAACAACATATATTTGTTTAAGCTGTACACTGTTATTATAGACCAGCTTAATTACATCTGCTTTTCTCAAAACTAAAAAAAAACTTGAAATAATTTAGTTTTAATCTCTACTTTCTCTATTTTAATAAGTCCATAATTTGATTCGAAGTTCGATTATACACATTTCACCAGGCAAATTTTGTCATCTAATCAAAACAAAATATATACGTAATATTATTTTGAGTATTTATATTTTTTTTCTGGCAAATAATGAATTGCACCAGGAGCAACTACTTGCCGCTCAGAAAAAATGCTGTAGTTCAGCGCAGTCTCGATTTGCGCCTTCGTGGTGCTCAAGCCAAAACCAATTTTAAAATATGTTTCTTTTACTTAGTGATTCTGTCGATTCTCCTCTTGGACATTTGGCAGCTGCATTACTCATGCAACAGGACATACTGGAGGTTCCAAGCGGAGTGCATCATTTGCATCATTATTGCTCTGAATGCACTTGCCTGTTTCGGCAAATATTTGTGGCTAATATGTGGCGGTTACCAAGTGGTTGGGACGGAAAACCAAAAGTGCCTGCTGGATGGCAAGAATGGTTTGTTTTTCTTGGGAGTGTAGCCACTTATCCTTTAAATCTAAACATATTTCTTTTATTTTAGAGAACAGTTTTGGAACAGTTTTTGTTCGACCGGTGATGAAAGCTAAGTGTTACAAAATGTGTAATGATATAAATGACGACATGCCCATTGTCCAGTGGCATTCCTCCTTCATCAACTCCTGTAGGCGGAAAAAGAACGATTGTTTATTGTCGTTAAAGAAGGATTGGCGAAAGAACACCTGCAAGTCACCGTATGAGGAGGTTTGCCGGGAAGATTTTATAACCGATATCCGAAAATTACCTGCTTTAATAAGACGGGCAAAGCGGGAACGCAACATGTCGGACGACTCGGAAAAGCTATATATCCAGAGCCAATTACTTTGGAACTACAGAAAATATGCGACGTCTAAAAAAAACACCACCTACGATTTTACTCCACTACCAGAAAAGAATTTTGGTGGTTGCGATTCGGAATTCGCAGAGCCTATCGCCCCAAACAAACTATTGCAGTGTGTGGCCAACCTGAGATTTTGGATTTCCACTACTATTCTGCAGCGTTTGGTCAACGAGATCGAATATGTAGATGAGGTGTTCCAACAGTGTGGCCTAAACGACCTTAAAATAGGGGCAATGAGTCAGAAGAGGCTGCGTTTAATAGCCGAGAACCAGGAGTTTGTGAAATCCCATGTTCCCATGTTCCCCATGCTGTTGGCCTTTTTGGACGGCTTCAGTAATCAGGAGTACCTGGTGCAGCGCATCAAGGAGCTATCGAAGGGCACCTATATAGAAGACTATCGCTGGAATTCGGGCAGGGCAAGCTATGGTCAGGAGTGGCAGGGAAACCTGCCCACAGATGCAGCCATAGTTTTCCATTTATTTTGCGTTTATTTGGACAGCCAGTTGATGCCATTGCCGCAAGGCGCTGGACAGCGCCCTTTCTTCTCTCGATATGTGATTATTCGGGATGAGAAACCCGACAAGGACATCGTGTCCTGTGTGAAAAACAAGGCAAACTGCGCTATCTTGGCCACCGACAGTCAACAGCCCAATCCCAAGTTCAACCTTATCAGCAAATTCAAACTGCAAGATTGCCTATACGACTCGAACAACCTGTTTTATGTAATTATCCAATTTTTGACCTACATGCAAAACGAGCAAGGATCCGTCTTGGAATCTGTCAACCTGGGCAAAAGCGGCATCAACATCATGGACGTCATCGAAAATAATTTCCAAGTGGAATAACTGTTTAATATATCTGTTTAAAATTTTTATTTTTAAATTTCTTATTCGTTACTATTATTTAAAGAAAATAAGTATCGTTGTGCTCTTTAATGGCTATAAATGGTTTTTACAAAAAGCAAACTTTCAATTTTCTTTCTTCGATGTTTCTATATATTTCAAATGGCATCATTTTATTCTTTGGCACGCCCAAAGATACAAAATTTAAAAGAAATGTATATTTTAGATATTTTTTAAATAAGAAAATTTAACTCTTTAATAAAGGGGATATACTTTTTAAGTAAATTGAATACTTAAAAAAAACTTACTCTTGAAAACTTTATTTTTCTCCTTTTATTAATATAAATCTAATCAAAATAATAGTTTACTTAGTTATACTTATTATCAATGTGCTCGTTTTTTCAAAAACTTACATTAACACTTACCAAAGTTTCTATAGTAGCCTGTGTTTGTTAGGAAAGTAGGGTTTCCACTTTTTTTCCAATTTTTGAAAAAAGAATTCGCTGAACTATTTCTCTAATGACTTAACACATAAAAATGAATAAACATTTCACTGATGTCACTTACCACCAACGAATTAATATTGAACGATTTCCTTTATTTTGAAGGAATAAAAATAATTTGTTTAGTTTCACTTTTCAATATTTTGTTAAACTCTTCTATCACTTCAAAATAAAAAACAAATAAAAAATATCAGATATGATTAACAAGAAAAAAAATATAAAAAAAGCTTCACTTAATTTTTATCATTTATTTAAAATTTGACGCATAAGCTAATTCGCCGCAATCAAAAGCGACATTGCACTCTCTTCTTCCTAATTAAACTAACGGCGAATTCAGTTTCATACGATGAAATGGAAAACACGGCGTATTCACTTTACAAACGCGCGACAACTGTGTAAATGTGTTGTTGCGAGCATGGTTATACATACATCATTAATATTTTATTGGCAATTTATTTCACAGCTTGCAAAACATCTAAAGATGAAACGATTATTGACCGATTATGACTAGTTTTTAAGTAAGGTACCAACTTTGTAATTTAATAATATCGTGGAATGAATAAAGTTAAATTTTCGCGGGTCACACACATGTGAAATAGAGAACCGATATTTTTTGCTAATTGCAAACTGTTGAATTATATTATTACGTTTCCGCCATGACTAGCTCGTTTTTATTAATTTATTTTATTTTTTTCAATGTTTAATTGGCCAAAAATTGAAGAACAACACGCTTTAAAATAAGACGCGTCCGGCGGGAAAAAAGCGCAGCGAGAAAATGGCAAATGGTGGCCGATTGAGAGAAAGAAACAGTAAAAGGAATCGTCGAGGATCTAACGGAATTTTGGCTCTTTCTCTCTCTCTCTTTTTCTTCTGAGTTTCTGGTTTTTGATGTCCTTAGCCTTCGGTTTAAGTCATGGATAGATGGCCATGTATGGTTTGAGTGCAGGCTAATCGGGAATGAAGCATCGATGTGTTATATCGATATCCCTGCCATCTCTTGCTGTTTCTATCGACGTTTCTCCACCTCTAGGAGTGGAGTGTAATTAAAAAAATTAAAAATCGTCGACCGCGCTGTTCCATCGTTAGTGCACCGCTCCGAAGTGCGGCAAAAAACGCAACCAGAAAGGCAAAGGCAGCAATTCGGTAAAATCCAAGAGAGAACAGTTATCCGGAAGTCGCGTCAAGTGCACGTGCAATTGTGAATCGTTCTTAGTATACACCGCCCCGCCCCGCCCCATTCCCCTCGTCCATTGTGACTGTGCACAATTACCTTGCGTATACACAATACATACACGTATATACCCCCTGTTTGTATGTATGCGTGCCACCCCCAAAAGAGGCGGAAAAAGAAGAAAGCAAAGGAATTTTTGCAAAATCCAAGATAACTTTGTACTATTGCAATCAATGCTTTTACTATTTCTTTTCACTCGGCACTTTGCTCTTTGCAACAAAAAAAAAACAACGGCGAATATCGGAAGTTGTTTTTCTTTTCACTCCACTTTTATCGCCACGCTGTTCGTGCCCAGCACCACCCTCACCGCCCCATTTGGTGTCTTGTAAATACTGTGAATATCGGCTATCAGGAACTGGTGAATTCAAACAGTCAAGAAATTTGCATCTTGAAATTGCCAGCAAGATAAATACAAACAATTTCTCATCAGACATACAGTAAACATTGGTTTTGCCAAACTTTATTGATTTTAGCATAATTGCGTAAGAAGTAAATAAATATTTAATAACTTGATTAATATATGACTTCGTTCAAAGATGTATAAATTTTTTAAAAATGTATTCGTTCTTAATTGAACGGGAATTAAAAAATTAAAGAATAACTTTATTAATATTAGGAGGGAGCTCTGTATTTCATATCCATTACCAAAATGCGTCATAAAAATTTAAATTTGTAATATGTATGTATGTTTATTAAACCTTTCAAATGGAAAAAATATTTAACTTTAAAGTACATATATATTATAAGGGCTATATTATTGATTGTTAGGGGTTGCCAGTGCGATTATAAGTCGAAATTTGAATAACCTTTAACCTTATTAACCCTAATAATTATTGTGTTCAAATAATGAAAATGGGTTGAGTCTTAAACCAATAAAAATTTCGTTTTTAGCAACTTCATTTGGAGTCGCGTTTCTGCTAAGCAACATCAACTACTAAAATACCGATTCCCACATTAAAAGCTTCGGTAAGTTATAATTATTATATAAAATTGTTAACTCTTTATAAATTATTTTATTTAACTAAATTGAAATCAGTTGATGAACGCTTGAACTGTTAGATGTGTTCTGAAGATGTATATTCTAGAATTAAATGTTTCGTAATTAGGTCGTAATTAAAAAGATATTTATTATAACGTTAGGAAAATAATATACACTTGTTATTATTCACTTATCTAGGTTTATTTTATTTTTACATTTAAACCTTTGATCTTAGGTAGCTAATTTCCGTCGAGGAAACCTGTACGATCGTGTCTTGCTGACCCAAAAGAATTATTATCATTGTTATTTTGTTATTACCGCCACCTGGGTCACCGAACTAGGCGGGTGGGCGTGGCCAGGTAGCCCGTGTTATTTCCATGTTATATCTGCATTTCGACAATCGATCTTAATCTCCGCTCGCTTCCTTTTGAGGGTCTTTGTCTAGGACTTGTTATACTTGATTTATGGCCCTCTTCCCATCCTCGAAAACCGGTTGTATTGGCTTAATCATCGCGTCTTGCTGGATATTTTATCTGAAGTTCTTTGTGACTCACTGCGGTTGTTTAAGTTACTTTCTTGGCAAACCCCCTTTTTTAAGATTTAGGGGAAAAACAAATTGTTTAATATAAATTCAATCGATTTGCTGATGGTTTTATAGTTTTTTTATTTATTTATTTATATTACCATCGATAAGTACTAAGGAAATGGTGGTATATATTTGATTTTATAGGTTGTATATAATATAATATAGATTTTATTCAGTAAACATACAATATATATATTTTTAATATTGAAAATAATTCCTCTATTATTTTGTTTTCTTTATTGTATATAAATTCCAAATTCTTTGCAATTTTGATGTGAATTTTTCACGGTTGCATAAAATCCGTGTATTCGAGACCCAATTAAATCACATTAAATTTCTGCTCGCTGTGGCTGAAATAATTCGATTTAAAGGTCAGGCCCCGACACTTTTGCAACTCTTTTTGCTCTCTCCCCAGTTCAAATTTACTGAAATTGAAAGCAACGTGGCGGCCGATGAGAAGAAAAATCAATATGTGCTAATACAATTTTGTGGCAAACAAATTAAAACACACAAAAGAGCACTACTCAGTGCTCTGATTTATACTCAGTATGTATTATAGTAGTATAGTTACCTATTTATTCAGTTGATTTGGTTCGGTTTTGAGGGGTGAATATTTGAGCAGCATTTTATTAATTGATACTGGCCAATTTGAATTGTAGGTAAACAAACATATTGACTGCAACTGCAAAATGAGGCCAAAAGTGGGTTATGTTTGCCCACCGGCCATCATAAAGTAGCTTAAATTTACGACTGCAACTAAAGTAGGTTAGCCCAGGTCCAGATAAGCCTCCTCCCACTACGTTCATTTTATTCTAGCATTTTATAATCTCAGCCTTGACATAGTTTTGTCAGATGTTCTGACAAAAAAAAAGGGTTTTTTTCCCCCTTTTATATTACTGTAACCATTGAAATTTGATTTCGCTTTTTATTTATTGCCGCCATTTCATGCAAATTGGGTAGCCCATATTTTTAGCTGACACATCCATGCAATGTTTGCAAATGCCCATATATGTAAATATGTATATATTTATATCTACCTCTCTGCCATCCTGATGCAATTCTTTTTAATATTTTTTCCTTTGTTTTGCCCATGGCGAAACGCAACTAGGTTGGACTTCCCACCGCCCAATCCGGCTCTTACTTTGCCTTTCTTTTCGCCGCCCCTTTTTTTCCAGGAGCACCCCCACATCACCCTTCCGTTCCCGGAGGTCTCCAAACAAAAAAAAAAAAAAAAAAAAAAAAGAACCGGGTTAATCGTCGCCACGTTGTCGTCGGCCAGAACAAATGATTACTTTTCGTTTGCTCCTCTACCGTTTGTGGGTCAACTGCAATTTTTACCATTAAAATAATTATTTGATTGCGTTTTTGCTGTTAAATGCACGCTTCCCTTGAAGTGAGAGTGAGTTACTTAAAATAATCAATAGAATTGGGGTATTTATCATTCGCAAACAGTCAAATAAATCTTTGAAAATGTTGAGAGTTTAAAATCTCAATATGATTTAGTTGCAAATGATTTCTGGAAAGCCCTTGAACATTGTTTGTATTAATATTTAGATACAGATTTAAAGATATTCCCATATTAAAATATTTTTATAATTTCTTTCTTTGTTTTTCACACCCCAAATTTAAATTCAAGTCAAATTCGTTTGACTAATGTTTAATAAATCTTTCTTTAAGTTTCTGATTATTTAATGTCCAGTACAATTATTTTGGCTTATCTAAATAAGATTAGAAGTCATATTTAGATTCTTTAAGCATTTATATCATTTGGGCAATCTCATAATTAGTTTAATTCCTGCTTAATAAATCTTTCTTCAAATTTCCGATCAATAAATAAGCACCAATTCTTTCGGCTTATCAGAAAAAGTACTTTCGAGTGCTTTGTACAACATTCCGTGCATAAAAACCACCAATTTGCTCTTATCAGTCGAATATTTGTTATCACTAAACACTATGCTGGCTGTCTTTGCAACAAAGCGAACAAATATCTGGCTCAGTAGCCCACATAACCACACAACAACCACCGAATTTGAGTGGAGAATACTCGTTCAGTGCAACTGGAGCTGGAGAGGCCAATTAAAGCACCTGACCTAGAATATTTGTAGCCCAGTTTCGCCAGCCGAGAGTGCACATGCTTTACATGCCTCAGTCATATTGAAGTCCCCATACTATCTAACAAATTCGTACTTTGAATCAGTCGACTGTGAGCTGCATGTTAAATGGTTTGAATTAATTGCGTAGGCCACGCATGTCACGTGCTCTTCATATATAGCTTTATTCATATTACGATTTCCATCCAAAAGTCCTTGAACAAAGTTAAAAGCCAAGCCGGAAATTTTAAAATCAACATTCCCAAATTCCTTTTAGATTTCTTGCTGTACATTGTTGCTTCTTCATGTTTCGTATTTATATATATTTTTGTAGCACATCACGTACTTATAAAATCAAGGAAAAATTACAAGGCCCAATGTCAAGTTAAATTAAATTACAATTGGTTTACAGGAATTATTTAAGCCAAGTACTTTTGTTTATTTCTAAGTCTTCAAAATAATTTACATACAGCTTGTATATTAAACGCTCTTCATTCTCGGAAAGGCTGTGGCATAACCCGTCGTAAATGGCAAAATTAAGATGAAATCTGGCATAATACAAAAATTAAAATATTATCATACATTCGAAGATTTCGTATTTATCGGATTCTTTAAAATCATAATGTACCATAGTTTCCTTTTCGTTGAAGGAAACTTTTTTAAGCAATGGCTTCAAATTTAGTTACATACAAGCTGTTGTATTTAAAGCGCTCTTCGCTGTGACACAACCCGCCGTAAATGGCAAAATATTTGGTCAGCCCACAGCCGCGAAAGAGACTCTGATTTCATCAATGGCTTGGCCATAGTTTGGTGTCAGTCCAGTGCCATTTATGTGCGGAGCACGTTCGCCTATCGCAGGGGCTTAAGTTTAAAGCTCGTGGGGCAGCGGCTATCAGCTATCAGCTGCAAGTGACACATTTTAAGCCGCGCCAGTTGACCACTTTGTTGGCCAGGCCAACTGTCAGTCCCTATCGCAGCGTTTTGTACCCGTGTACCTATGTACCTGTGCCTGTGAAAGCGTAAAAACTTATAAACGGGAAAAGGCCAGTTAGGGCCATTTTAGCCCAGGCATTCGGCCAGTGTTTATTCGTGTGTGAACGGACAACGAGGTTTCCCGCACGCTCCTCCATAGTATAGTATATTGTATCCATTATTTACATATATTATTCGGATTCTATCAGCCACATGTAAGTTGTGATTCAGCTCATTTCCTTTTATTGCTCATTGTTGATTATGGATTTATTCGCTTGGTGCGCACTGCACTTGTTCAAATGTATCGTTTACTCGAAGATCGTGGGCGAATTATATTCTATGTCTATTATACACTAGAAATTACTTACTAAATATTAGACGAGATATTGCAAATATAAATTCTGTTATCGCACGAAAGATGATTTCAGTAGGTTTTTAAATAAACAAATAACATATAGGTGATTTAATATTTTGATATTTTATAAGATATTTTAAAACTACTATTGTTGAAGCAAAGATAAGTTCATAAAGTTTCTGAATTTCGAATTAATACTTATACAATTTTGATATGCTAAATTCTTAATTTGTTAAAATACTATAACTATAGTATTAGGTAAAAATTTACAAACAATTTTATATGTTCCTTACCCATATTCAATAACATTTTGATATTTTAAATATAATGCTTAAAACTGTTGGTAGTTAAATATTAAATTAATATTTATAACATTTTGATATGTTATTTATTAATTTGCTTATTTAAATATATGGATTTGATATCTAAAATTCGAATTTCCTTTTTTATGTTAATTTACCTTTTCAAAAATACTTTGAAAATATTATTTTACTTGTAAACAAAGTCGAATGACTATTACTGTCTTAAAAAATGGTTTTCCTCTAGAGCCCTTGATTAATGTACGCTTTTCTGGACTTGAATTCCAATCGTGGAAATTAACTACTTATTTTTCTCAAGTTTCGAGTTGAGTGAACTCGAGGGAAAACCCTAATAAAATACGAATGCTTGTCTATATGCTCAGATCTAAATATTTGGCTAGCTTACAAAGTAGGCATGGTACATTGTAAGCAGCGATGACTTCTGGTCTAGACCCAAATCCCTTGGCCTAAAGTTTATACGATAAGCGGCTATTGTTTGTTTTTTGCGCACAGGCTGCCAAATAAAGCCGTCCGCTGTCTGCTTATCACCCATGTTTATCTAGTTTAGTCATATTTGTAGCCACTCGCATATGGAGAAGATGTAAAAACGTGGACCCAGGAAAGATCGGGCTGTTGGGAATGCGGTACGCATTTATTGGCATTACTGCGCACGGTACCCACATTGCTATAGAATCGTAGATAAAAATCAAAATGCAAAAAGCGCCTTTGTTTTTAGCGTCTCGTGTGCCGAACGTTCTGAAAGCGAAACGTTGGTTTGGTTGATGTGGATATGGATGTGGATGGGAGGGGCTGGTCGAGATAACAGCAACACGAGGAGATTGTGTAATCGCTTTGGCGATTGCTAGGCGGGAACACTGATGGTGATGCGGATTCACATACAGTGGGGTCTATCTAATAACAGACACTTGTCCATCTTAAACATACGCAAATTGTTTGGTAATACAAGATTGAAGGACAAAATAGTATGACATTTAAGGTCAAATGTAATATCTAAATACCATCGATATTAAATGAACACATTTGTATTTATTTATTTTTGATATTAAATTTGAAATGATTGCAGTTAAATCACTTATTAAGTTAGTAAATTAGTTAGTAATTTGTGTTTAAAGTCAAATTTGAAATGCAGCGTTTCCGAAGTAAATAAATAGGTGACACTTTTGTATTTGTATATGAAGATGAATTAATATATTATTAAGCACTTGACTCATAGTTCAAAATCATTTGGAACAGAGAATTTGATTCACGATGGGTGCATAGAATTTTTTGTGAGTGCATGTCACTGCCTTAGCTGGTTGCTTGGCCAACGGGCAATAGTTGTTGGATATTGTTTTAGCCGAAAATGCAAATTGTTTTCTTGCTCGTCGTCACAGCAGCAAAAAGAATAAACGTCACCTTTTGCATTTACCACCCCGTAAACCCTATATTTTATTACCCGATTTTGCCTGGCAACCAAAATAAAAGGGGGGACCATTTCGCCCGATGGCGATACACTTTCATTCGCTGTCGATTGTCGATTCAGTTGAAAATGTTTTCTGTTTTTGTTTACACAACGCGGCGTTCGAGGGAATCTGCTGGCAAGCCAGTGCCATTCCCGATCTGAAATAGAGCCAGCCATAAGCTATTTAAGTGCTGGAGGAGCAACAGTCTTCCAGTCAGTCTTTCGAAATAATGCAGTTCTTCGCGTGAGTCGGATATATGTTAATTCCCAAATCTACTGAACCGAAACTTGGACCATAAAAAATGCAATTTGAGCAAACACCAAGCCCCTTTTTCGGACTAAGTTTCATTTCCAGCAAGCTGGGTTCATTTTCTCCTTATATTTTATATTGTTCACCCGCTTTCAATTAAATCGTTCCATGAAGGGGCCTCTAAAACTTTTGCCTACACAAAAGGCTAGCTAAATGGAGAACTAAATGGAAAACTGTTCGAGCAGCAACAATGGAAAACAATTGAAAAACTCAATTTGTTGGTAATTTGTTTGGGCGTGCGTGTCTCAGTGTCTCAGTTTCTCTGTGTGCAATAACAATTTCAGAGCTTTGGCACATTGCAGTCGATTTGTTGACTGTTGACTGCATAAAAAAGCAGTTGAATGAACTGAGAGCAAACTCTGATTGATATTTCGAAAGCCATATTGGTACAAATTTGTATGCGGTCGAGGCAATAAAATAACAGCCAAGTCCAATTTTGTTTTACGTTTTACATTAATAATAAATTGTGGAGAAATCTTTTTCATGGTCTTTGGTTGTCATGGCTCCTAAATTTGCATTGTAAAATTTATGAGTGGAAAAGTTCTAGAAGTAAAACCACTTTTATCACCTGTTATTGTGGTTTCTAAATAATTACATACAATATAAATTCTAAGTTCTTTTGAATCGAAAATCGAAAAGTTCTAGAACTAAAACCATTTTCTTCACTGGTTCTGTTATTCTGTTGTTTTAAAATAATTTGGAAAAAAAATCGATTATTTGAACTTTCTTTTTATTTTTTATAAATTTATATTTAAATTCTGAAAGTTATTTAAAAATTGTATTATAAACTTCTTATTAAACTAACCTCCTTTAATTTCATTTTTTTTGCAGCTTCTCCAAAATGGCCAAGTACTCGGGCAAAAAATGCCGGCTGCTTTCGATGATGTGGCTGACGGCGTTCTTCTTCTTCGTGGAGATCATAGTGGGTTATGTGACCAACTCGATGGCTCTGGTCGCAGATAGTTTCCACATGTTGGGCGACATTGCCGCCTTAGTGATATCATTTCTGTCTGTAAAGGTAAGTCTCCTGTCACTCGTCAATATATATCAATCACATAACTTCCTATCTCGACAGATGTCACCGAAGAAATGGTCGAAGAACACCTTTGGATGGGCCAGGGCCGAAGTTTTGGGAGCTTTGGTCAACGCTGTGTTCCTGGTGGCCCTCTGTTTCAGCATCACCATCGAGGCCTGCAAAAGGTAAGTGTCCAAAGAATACAAAATAAACCTATTTCTAGTGAATTTTGTGTAATTTTAAATCAACAGTTAAATATATATACAATTAACGACATCTTCTTTTGATGATTGGAAATGAAACCATTTTTGAATTCATTGTAAAGCCAATGTTAATTTTGTTGGCTTCAACAGTTCCGAGAAGCATTGCCTTCGTTTATATAAATAAATAAAAACACATACCAAGAATTGCTAAATGATTGCTAATCATTTCTTTTCTAAAAGTATTTTTTTTTTATGGTTTTGAAAAAAAAATCAGCGGGTTTGCCTTACATCAAAGAAAAAACTAAACACAAGCGCCAACAAGTTTTTCTGTTTATAATTTATTTAAAAATAATTAATGTAATTTCAAAATGAAGAACTAGTTTAATCCTCATTAAATTGATTTTTAATTATTATTTTTATCAGCTTCTTCGTGTATTCGTCACTAGCCTAAGCTGTTTTCCATAATATTGAGGATCATCGATCTGTTTTTAACTTATTTTGTAAACAAAAAATGTAAATTGGATACCAAAAACTAGTTTTTTCACGTTCTTATTTGATTGATTAAAAATTATATTTATGTCACCTCTTTTGAGTATTCGTCACTAGGGTAATCTGCTTTCCGTAGTATTATTATTGGGACTAATTACGGATCATCGATCCGCACCCAGTTGTTTGGTGATCTGTGTGCAGTAAGCCGAATTACGATCAATAAGTTCGCCTTGGCATCGGCATGTGCTAATGTGATTTGTTTAAATTGACTTGAATCACTCGATTCCGTATGTGAGTTAATTTGTTGTTTGGGTTTTACTGCCACCTTTCCGTCTGTATATGTGCTTTGGGTTTTGTGACTTGTACACCTTATTAATTTACATTCCGGGCACATTTTGTGCATATTTATTGAAAGCTTTGCGAGGTGAAGTGAGTCTGTTGCCAACAGCTACCGATACCCTGGAGACGCCAGCTACACTGGCATAAAATATAATCTTAAAAGATAAATTGGTTTTGTATGGCTTGATCTAAAATAAACGGCCTTCACTAAAGTCTGATTAATGATAGCTTATCATGATTTTTTATTTGCATTTAATACTTTTTTTTTAATTTTAACAACTGCAATAACTAAATTTTAAAGATACCATTTACTGATAAAGCTGATGTGGTGTTTGGTTCATTCACTTTTTAGAATATGAAGGAATTAACTATTAATAAATACACCAGAGTGGTTTGATTCCATTCCAAATCTGAATTTTGCAATTTTATTTGAATTTAATGTTTTTTTTTAATTAGATTTTAGTTTAAATTATGATAATTTTATGTTTATTTTAAACATAATGAATGATCTTAAATTAAGTAGAATACTTTCAACTTAAATTGGTTTTCTAACATTCTCATTAAATTCTAATGTTTTCCCTGGAAGTTTGTTTATTATTAAATGCTTACTTATATTTTGTTATCTTTACAGATTCATTGAGGAGGAACCGATTCATGAGCCCGAGCTGTTGGTTATCGTGGGAGCCCTGGGTCTTCTGGTGAATGTGATTGGCCTCTGTTTGCTTTACGGTAAGAGTAGCCATTAAAAGTTTAATAAAAACCCAACTATAACTAATTCTTTACTGCAGAGCACGGCGGTCACCATGGACACTCGCATGGTGCCGGACTTACCCGCAATCACAGCCGACTCACTGAGTTGGCCAACATGGACGAGGGCGAGGATGAGCAGAACGACTATGCCTACGAGAAACAGAAGGAGAAGCCGGTGGTGAAGAAGTCCAGCCATGGACACAGCCACGATCCCGGCCAGATGAACATGCGTGGAGCCTTCCTGCACGTTTTGAGCGATGCCCTTGGCAGCATCATTGTGGTGATCAGTGCGGTGGTGGTCTGGAAAACGGAGTGGAAGTATCGCTACTACATGGATCCCGCTCTGTCCATCGTCCTGGTGGTGCTCATCCTCCACTCCGTGTGGCCACTGCTGCGTGAATCGGCTCTGATCCTGCTGCAAACGGTGCCCACGCACATCCAGGTGGACGCCATCCAGAAGAGGCTGCTCGAGAAGGTGGACGGAGTACTGGCGGTGCACGAGTTCCATGTCTGGCAGTTGGCCGGCGACCGCATCATCGCCTCTGCCCATATAAGGTAAGTCTAACTTCCTAAAATTTAATAAATCAAGTTTTAGTTTTCAACTTGTAATGGAAATTTGATATTCAAGTTTTAAAGTCATTTTATTTTTATGTTTACAATTATAATTGTTACGGTCGCTGTATTAAATTCAATATTTTTTTTAAGGTGCCGCAACCTCTCGGAGTACATGAAGATTGCCGAGAAGGTGAAGGAGTTCTTCCACAACGAGGGCATCCACTCCACCACCATTCAGCCGGAGTTCAGCGAGATCGAGGGCTGCAACATGTCCGATGGCACCTCCAGCATCAACATGAGCGGCTCCGACTGCTGCGCTTTGGACTGTCCCACCACGGATGAGGGATGTGTCAAAGCCACCTGCTGCCAGAACAACAACAAACTGGTGGGTTTTGCTTAACGTATATAGCTGTGCTCAAAACAATAGTAGTTTTTTAGCTTATGGCAAGGGCAAATGGGAAAAAATATAAAAACCCGCATTTCAAAAAAGTATAATATTTTAAAATGTTTAAAAAATAATTGAATTTTGTTGTTTTTAAAATAGAAAAGTGTTTAATATTTTTATATTCATATTCCGTCTCTAGTTAAACGAGGATGTTCAATGATTTTCTTAATTTTTTCCTTAGAAAGAGAAGTGCATTATTTTCTATTTTGTAAACTTATCCAGTTTTTGTTATTATAATTTAAAAGAAAAAATTAACAAATTGGTCAAATATAAAAATCCGCTTTCACCATGGGTATAATACTTTAAAATTTATTTTAAAAATATATAACCTTTTTACTGCTATACAAAATGCAAAAGAGAGAGTATTTTTTAACACTTTACATAGCTAACACTATTGTTTTGACCGCAACTGTATGAATACAAATCCAAAGAGGCAATTATAAAGATGAACTCTAATTTACAGAACCAACTGCCCTCACCCACCAACTCGCCTTACCTGTGTCGCCAGAGAAATGCCGCCCGACAGGCGGGCGATGTGGAGGCGGGTTCCCTGCTGGAGGCCACAGCCAGTGGATCCTCTGGTGGAGCCACCGTGGGAGCAGGAGTGCCCACCGCAGGAGCGCCGGCGATATCAACGCCGAAGAGCGATTTGGTCTGACGACAGCCACCACAGCAGACGGCGCAACAACATGTACACTTTGCCACGACCAAAACGGAAACCACAAGCGCAACAGGAGCAGCAACATCAATACGTGATATAATGTTCGAGCCAAGCGCCGCCAACAACCAAGTGGCTTCCACATGCAGCGCACAGGATGCAGGCGGCAATCTCGGCCAGCGGCGAAGGGAACTTCAGTTGCAGGCCGAGCAGCAGCAGTATCAGGAGCGGGTGCCACCGTTGAGCACCCGGAATGGCGACGAGGTGGCCCTCTAATTTAGGAGCCTAGTTTAAAATAACCGCTGCAATGGAGACTGGTCTGCCATGTGGCAGCGTTCGTGTTTTAGTGTTTGTATCATTATTTGTTCTTAGCGGAATTTAGGCATTAATGAGCTAGTTTAATTAAAGTAAAAGTAAAAGTAAAATCAAAAAAATGAATGTTATGTATAACACGATTATCTGATAGAGTGCAGAGAACACAAAGTTTAACGAAAGAGAGTATGTCATTCAAATATACTGCATATATAGTATGTTAAAACCTATTCGATTGTAGTTAATTGCATTAGTTTAAGTCGATAAGTGAGAGAGCCCAACCAACAGAGAATACATATGTACTACGTTTTTTACATTTTGAGAAAGTTTATACATACGTGAAATAAATTATTGTATTCAATAGTTATACCTACGGATTAGCAAATGACTAAAGAGAGTTTACAAAATACATAGGTATTTGTGTATGGTTAGGCCATAGACCCTTAATCTTAGTAGTTGTAATGCTATCTGTAAAAAAAAAGAACATGTTTTTACCACAACCGTGAAACTAGTTTCTATTTAATTTTAATTGTATCGAACTTTATAATGACTATACATTTAATGCGAACATCATGTATTATTTTATGATCTGCATTGATTTTGCACCTGTATATGTTTGTAAATAAACACCAAACATAATCAGTCCAAGCTAATTTACTCTATTTGATTTGGGGTAATTTACATAAAGCGTTTAATTATTACTTTCCACAGCAACAAACTCAATATAAATATAGCTTTGATTTTCATTTGATATATAAATATGAAAATATTTAAATTTAAAATTTAAATATTTGACTATTTTCGGAATTGATTGAAATGTCTGAAAAATTATGTTAAATTTAAACCATATTTAACTCAAATAAAATATATTGCAATAAAATTGGAACTATTGTAAATGTTATATTTTTCACCTTTCACATTTTGAGGGGTCTGGTCCCTATATAAACTCACCAAATGTTGCTTAAACCTCAAATTGAGAATACTGGTTACAATGGTGCAGATCAAATTCCTGTTCGCCATCCTCGCTGTGATGACAATTGTTATCCTAACTGCCAATACCGCTGAATCAAAGGATTGTCTTTCTGGAGCATTTAAAGGACCTTGTTTCGCTTGGAGTAGGGAACGCTGCAGGCGAATTTGCATGGAGTCAGGAAGACCCAGTGGACATTGCAGTTCCAGCATGAAGTGTTGGTGCGAACAATGTTAGGGCCACGTCCTTAAAAAAGTGAAAAATTTAAGATTTATGTGAATTAAAAATTGAAAGCCTGATATAAAAAGTTATCTCTTTTCTTTTTTATCTTCTGACCTATTGCGGCTTAAAGCGTTTTAATATAATTTGTTGATCCTTAGTAAATTAAACATTTTAATTTAAATTTAATCTGCCCAAAAAATGAAGTATCATTTATTGCATTCTATGGTACTGCTTTCAATACACACATGCTATTAAAAATAAATACTTTTCTCTGTGAAAATAGTATGCTGGCAATAAAAAAAATGAAATATTATCTATCTGGGATTCTGGGACTTTCAGTTCACCTAGCTTATCTATTTATTGAGTTCCAACACGTTAAATAGATCCAGGTTCTTTATATGTTAAATGGTAAACTTAAATTGTGCTCAAAAAATGTTTTTTCAAATCTATATAAATCAATGCAGTTAAAATGTATTGTTTTTAAATAATGTTCAAAACATTTAATTGACTTAAAGTTCAGACATTTCCCAGTTGCTAGAAACAAGAAATTCTCTACAACAAGCATTGAAAAAAGTAATTCTATTATTCTTGATACGAAATAATAAGATAATGGGCTTCTGAATCGATTTTCCAGGTAGCTTATCAATTTTAGATAGGGATCCACGTTTAATATCGCAATTAATTCACGCAGAATATAACACAAAGTATGTTGAAACATACTGATGCAGTCAGCCATATATTTCGAAATTTATCTGGAAACCTGAAGGGGTCTAGTCCCTATATAAGCTCCACCACAAATTGTGGAGACCAAACGTTGCTCATAACTCAAATAAAGTACCAGTCCTCGTGAGAATACCAGTTACAATGGTGCAGATCAAATTCCTGTTCGCCTTCCTGGCTGTGATGACAATTGTTGTCCTGGCTGCCAACACGGCTTCAGCCAGTGATTGTCTTTCTGGGAAATTCAGTGGTCCCTGCTTCGCCTGGGATGGAGAACTGTGCAGGCGACTCTGCAAGGAGGAAGGACGAGTCAGCGGACACTGCAGTGCCAGCATGAAGTGCTGGTGCGAAGGATGTTGAATCAAATTCTTTTTAACAGTGTACAAGCTTATAAACATTATAAGCTAAATCTGTATTGTACATTTTTCATATAAATATTAATGAAATAAATACCAAATATGTTACTCACTGCAAGAAAATGTAATAGTTTTAAAGTATTTCCTAAACCTCTAATAGTGTTTATAATTAGGCAACATCCTTGCCTTGCAAACTTAAGAAACGAAGTAAAATAATGATGACTTTATTGCCCATATCTCTAAGAATAGGAAATTATGTGTCATCGATAGCAGGTTATTGACTCTTATTTCCGATAAAGCTTATCCGACCATGGTAATGGTAACGTTGCATACTGAACACAATCGTTGTCAAGTAAATAGGTATGTTAAAGGGCAAATGGTACATTGGGTTTTTCAAATATTATTAACTTTTCTCGTTCGAGTTAATAAGCTCAAAAGTATGCCTTCCCAAAAGGTACAGTGAGAGTAAGTGATTAGCATTTTCACCACAATGCAGAATCAGCCCCGTAAAAACAGGTCTTACCGCTTTTTAAAAACTCGGGAAACTACCTTCCGACTATGAATTATGACGATATATCAAAGCCATATATATTTATAGGTAAGAACAAAATTTACAACAAAAGAAGCAACCTTAAGGCAAGCCGACAAAAGCAATATATTCTGCATATATAATTCGATTTTTATGCTCCGACTATCAATGTCCTATAGTTGCTATTAAAACATTTGAATCAAATATGTTGTAAAACTTTAAAAATAAATATCTGACTGAGTTCAAAATTGCATTTATAATATTTAAATTAAATGTACTATAAAATCGAAATATTAAATACAATGCATATTTAATTGCTTGATGTAATAAAAAAAAATTTTAATTTTTCTCGTGATTAATATTGCGAAAATATCTGTTACAATTTCAACGTCAGTATAAAATAGTTCCGGTATATATTTTGAAAGATAGCTTGATAAAATGCCTACAATTTTTTTCGACATAATTCAATTTTCAATAGTATAAACTATCAAACAAACCTGACATGCCATATTCATTGATAGTTTTCATAAAGAAAATCTATTTTTAACTATACTTAAATAAAGGGGGTGCCCCTGAGAAATGCTTTGAAATGTGTATCGTTGAAATCGAGTACGAGTCTGTATTTGTGATAACTTCAGCCGGAAAATATGCTATTATTAACAAATCCACTGTTTTATTTATCTGTAATTATTTGCAGTCTGCTAATATTTATCACAATTATCACAAAAAGCTGGCAGAAACAAAATCGCCGGGGAGAGCGATTCGGACCCTATATAAGGGGCTATTTAGAGATCTTAATCTATTAATCAAGACCAAACTTTGTTTTGACAGCATTGCCCTATTAACAAGAAAAACCTCCCTGAAAAGTCACAAGATGCAGATCAAGTTCCTTTACTTTTTCCTCGCGGTGATGACGATCTTCATCCTGGGATCCCAGCAAGTCGATGCCGATTGTCTTTCTGGAAGATATAAAGGTCCCTGTGCCGTCTGGGATAACGATACTTGTCGTCGTGTTTGCAAGGAGGAAGGACGATCCAGCGGACACTGCAGTCCCAGTCTGAAGTGCTGGTGCGAAGGATGCTAAGCCCGATTTCCCGAAACTTTTTGATCGAAATGAAATGAAAATTTACATAATGTACCACCAGTTGAAAAAAACAAATAAAATACAGCAATGAAATTAATTTTTTAATTTATTTGGGATTTTGCAGTATAAGAACTTGCCTTTTAAGTCTGTTATAAATAGTACAGTCTAATTGTGTTTGTTCAGTCACAACTAGTTATTCCACTACTAATGACTAATTGCACCTAGTTTGGTTTTCCCTAGCTTGTTCAACCGTGATAATATTGATCTTATTGCACTGGGAAATCAATATATTTAAGAGGTATTATAAGTTTGATAGTAACCGATAATTGCATTTTACTTATTTTACCAAACTATTGTTAAGTCAGCTGTTGCGAGAATGAAAATAATTCAAAGTATCTGACTTAAAAAATTCTCAAATTGGTCTTGAACTTTTACAAAATAGATTTATTTTTACTTATGCAAATGTATAGACCTTAAGACCTTTAAATTTGTATGCCTTAGATATTAGAATTTCAAGTGTTTTAGATTTTACAGCCGGTGTCGTAAAACCACAGGTCTCTTTAATATTTATAATTCCTAAATTCTTATGCAAAGCATTATATATTTCATAACAACACATTTTCTTAAAAATCTACACATAGAAGCTACTTAATAATGTTTATATTTATTTAATATCATAAATATTAAAAAAAAAATCATTCACAAATACAAAAATGATTTTGTAAGTTTAAACGGTTTTAAAACTTTCCTTTGAAACTAATAACATTATCACATTATTTCACATTATTATACTTGACACAATAAAAAAATCTCTAAAACCATACATGATCCAGAATATATTGTTTAAGAGTTAAAATCCCGTCCTTCCACATGTTATATACTTTTCAAGGTAAGAAATATGCTCCTTTACACTTCGAGTAAGGAGTGGTAAATCAAAAAGCAGAAAAAATACGCTTTATTAAGCCACAACTCATCGGCATAAGAAAAATATGTTTTTCTGGAATCGTTATCTCTGGGGAAGTTAGTTCACACATGGGAAATTTTTGGACGGCTGTTGTTGTTATCATGTTTTTAATCTACTACCCAAGCGATTTAAACAAGATTCTTTATCCAAAGCAGCAAAGTCAAATATGAATCTTTTGCGCTTTAATAATTTGACAAATGAAAACAACAAATTCAGGTAAATAATAATAGGAATTAGCAAAACATTTTGCACAGCTGTGTGAATTTCAAGATTTCAAGGGCATCACCGCGAATTGGGGGAACTCCTCGAGTGTGTGAACTAGATAAGTAGGGCACTGTGCTGCCAAAAATCTTGTGGACCAGGCAATTTCCAGATTATTTTTGAGCTCTCGCTATTAATAGCCAACAATTGCTCGTCATCACATTGATATTTAAATATTTTAATCTAATGCTTAAAGCTCTCGATTTCCGAAATTTCTGGGGTTCTTTTTCTTAAAAACCTTACACCATCTTATCCTTGCATAACATTTCTGAGACAAATGTGAATTTAATATTTAAAGATTTAAATCAATCTTAACTTGATTGAATTTCTTAATTTCGTTGTAGTTTACAACATTTTCTCTGGGTTTTCTTATAACTTATTTTAATTTTTATTTTTAGGATTGCTGTAACGCAAAAGTGTTTTTGTTGTAAAATTTTCGTAGACTTCCTTTAAAGTTTGAAAAAAAGTAATAAATTTATTAGTTTTTTTATAAGAGACCTTTTGGGGATTTTAAATATAATAATTTTAGTTATTAAATTTAATAAAAAAGGAAAATCTTTATTAACTACTATTATTAAACCCCTTCATTGGGTGTTGTTATCATAATATTTAATAATATTAATTTCGTTATTCAGCAAATTGGTGAACATTTTTTTATGTACAAAATTAGGATTCGAATTCCTACGAGTTTAATTGGTTTCTTAAGTCTGTGTTTGAAATTTAACCAGCCGTAATGTAACCAAATACACTATTATATTTAACTGTAATTATCTGTTAATAATTATCACAGTGGAGATGCCGACGCTGGCAGAATAAAATTTCCGGGCAGAGGCATACCGACCCTATATAAGCGTTTACTGAGAGTATCTAAACCCATAAATCAAGTCCGAACTTTGTTTTGACGGCACTGCTCTATTTACCAGTAAAAACCTATCTAAAAACTGACAAGATGCAGATCAAGTTCCTGTACTTTTTCCTCGCTGTGATGGCGATCTTCATCCTGGGAGCCAAGGAAGCGGATGCCGACTGTCTTTCTGGAAGATATGGAGGTCCCTGTGCCGTCTGGGATAACGATACTTGTCGTCGTGTTTGCAAGGAGGAAGGACGATCCAGTGGACACTGCAGTCCCAGTCTGAAGTGCTGGTGCGAAGGTTGTTAACATCGAATCCCGAAACTTGTAAATTGAATTTAATAAAAGCAACAGTTGACAACTACTAAGACACATATTTGCTTTTAAATATTCTGGGATTTTTATAAATTTTTATTAAGCGCTTGTCTAGTAAACTAAAGCCATTTTGTGCTATTTAAACAAGCAGATTTTGGTTACTTAGTAATAAAGTACTTTTGCTACGGTTGGTGAAACTTGATTTGCGTTTTTCCTAGTTGGTAAAGTGTTGATACTATGTCAATATTGGATATTGTAAAGATTAAGGCGTCTTTCAGTCTTAAAATTATATATCAGACATTTGACTTATATTTCAGCCAGTTTGTGTTAGTTTAGTTATAAACGATAGTTACCTTTTCTTACTGCGACTTGGTTTTGTTTCCCAGAGCTATTATCGGGTCTACTGTTGATTGGTATTCTAAAAAGATTAAGAATTATTGAAATTCACTGAAGAGAAGATAACTGAAAAATAAACATCTTATCAGAAAACGATGTAAGTTTTTGGAGTTTCTATCCTTAGAGATAATAGTGCGGACTTGTGAAAATATTGGATTACTTTAATGGGACTATGCTAACTTTGTTTCAACGAGTTTAATCAAAAAACATTAACCCTTTAGTTTGATGTATATCAACAAATATATACGTACTAAAAACCATGCAAATAACGATTATTTTAAATTCTGATTAAGCCCTTAAAAGGTCGTGCAGTTAATGAAGATGTCAGTCATCCGTATTTCGTACCCTCTTATTAAAGTAATTGCTTGCATTGATTTGCATTTGATTAGGTCGAAATCATACAATTTATGTATGTATGGGTTCCAAAATGCTTATTTGTTATCTATGAAACCAGTTTCAACCGCAGTCGGGATACGAGCTGCGATTTAATTTATTTTTAGCCATTTCCAACATTAAAAAAAATAGTACAAACAAAATTCTCTCGAAACTATTAGTTGCAAATTGTTAACCGCATTTTCCCCAGATTGTAAATCAATATATCTGGCTCTAATTACTTCAATGTAGCAGCACTTTAGTGCCCACTAATTATTGAACAAGATCTAGCCTTAAATACATACAGCCCAGTTATAATAATTATTTCTTACATTTTAGTCTTACTCTACAAAATCATTAATTTTGTTAGCTATTTTCTCAAACTCATTTATTTAATTGTTTAAAAACATATCTTTAAATTTGAGTTAGTTTACCAATCAATATTTAAAAATGTTAATTTCAGTGTAAGCCTCGAATTTCCGAGAACCAGTCTGCAAATCAACAATACTGCTAATGTATATTAATTTTGTTGATAAGTATTCAACAAGGAGCGAGTGCGATTTCGCAGAGTTTCTTTCATGTATAAATTATTGGGTACTGGCTTGGCTCAAATGGTAGAAATTAAAATAAAATCGTTCGATTCAACACCCGAAAATGGATTTTATCTTCGGTTTATAGATATTTTAAAGGTATTATCTATTAAGCTGCTCAAAATTTTTGTTTTAAGTCTGATTTGCTGGTAGTACTTTTAAGTATAGACAAATTTTAAATGAAACGTTAAGTTACTTCTAAAAAAAATTCTAGTTTAATATTTTCAATTTACCTAAAAACTATTTTACGTTGAATATAAAATAATTTTATTTAACACCCAAAGAGAACTTCACTCACAGTTAATAGACTATTTTAAAAATATAATTTATTAAAAGCATACTTATAACCTAAATTCATAATAATAAGATCAACATGGGCAGGAGCTCGGAATGAGTTTACAAAGTTATTAACAAAAAATGAACTTACAGAGTTAATAACAAAAAATTGTACGAATGGTTAGTGATTGGTGAAGTGCTCCCCGAGATCGCCGCCACCTGGTCGTGGCCGCAGCTGCTCTGAGAAGCTTAGCTGCCGCTATAAGTTCTCGTCCAGGTTCTCGTCGGTGTTCTCCTCCACGATGGCCTCGTCCCAGGGTCCGTGGATGTTGAACTTGTACTGCTGCTGCCACACGAAAATGAAGGGGCACACGAAGTTGATGAACACGGTGGTGGAGGCGTAGAGGTAGAGCACCGGTCGCGATATCCAGTACAGGGCCAGGCAGCAAATGGCAAAGATGGGCACCATGAAGCCAGCCCTCCAGTTCGCCTCCGTCATTATGGGATACAGCACAAAGAAGACGGCCGCCTCGACAAGGAGCACGAAGGCATGATACGAAGACGGCAGCCTGGAGGCCAAGCAAATGGCTCCAAATATAGCCGCATTCAGTGAGATGGCCTGGAATTACAATGCAAATGTAAAGAACATTACAAAATGAACAACTCATCAAGTTGTGAAATGAAAACGTTGGTCAATAAATACTTGATCAATTGGGAACGAATGATGAAGTAAACAGTAAAGTTAAATAAATTAAACAAGCTAATAAGTAATCCTTTGATCAATGAACCAACTAAATGATTGATCAAGTAAGACAATTGAATACGTTTGTTGACTCTATAAGCTGGGTGCATTCACTACCTTGGAGACCATGGCCACATCCAATCCGTAGTGACTGAATATCAGATTCCCCAGCAGGACGAAGAAGGTCATCGTGTAGATGGTGTCCGTGCTGATGGCCTGGGTGAGGGTGTGCAGCATTGGTGAGAACAGGTATCCGAAGAAGACCACCGTGACCAGGGTTTTGGAGTCCTCCCCGAGGAGCGCCCAGCTGAGACTCCTGCCCCGGTAGCACAGGTATCCAATGCCCGTAATCCCACAACTGGGCACCAGAATCGTGGTGGGCGATACCCTGTCGCTGAGCATCAGTTGGTAAAGTATCAGGAAGCCGGTAATGCAGGAGATCTGATTATTTAGCACCGTAATGCCGGCAATCGCCTCACTGAGTGTGTATATCCTGACATGCAGGTTGGTGCGCAGGTCCTTCAGGAAACTGGCATCCGTATAGTTGTCCGGATATTCGCGGTTCGAATATAGGTTCTTTACCCACGGCTGCCGTTTCGTTTGCGCCTTTTTTACCATTTTTAATTCGAAAACGAATTGTTTGTTTACATTCGCTAATGGGTCAATGTGACCAGATCTCGGAAATCCATAAACACCCGGCAGGCAAAAAGGTATTGGTATTTTAAAAATTGTAATTTTTTATTTAGAATTACCTCAAATCTAAAATGAATATATTTTGATGACCTAAAATGTTTGATCTTAACTTGATTAAAATAAAACAAAATTCCAAAATCAAATTAATAAAACGGGCTATAAAAAATTAGATTAAATATTAAACATATAGGTTAGTTTAATCCCCGATTAGGAAAAGTTGGCGACTAGACCGATTTATTAGAACAAGCAATGAAAACTTTTATTTTTTGGATTTTAGGCATTGTTGCCTAATATATATCAATTAAAAGAAAAAATATGTAAATTTAACTATAAACTTTAAGCAAACATTTTACAACGTTTGCTTAAAGTTTTTTTACAATAAAATTTAATTTGGGATTTCTTTAAAGAAATCCTACTTGTCACCATTCTGATGTTTAATTAACAGAACCTTAAAATACATGTAACCTGAACATTTAAATATGATCGGAGGTCGGGGCGTTTCGGAAGTTTATCCAAATCATCTCTAAAAATATAAGGCACCCATTTATATCAAATAAATATGTTTATTTTGTTTTGTTTAAGTCTCAAAGTAATTTGTAGTTTTATAAATATTAAATTACTTTTTTTGTAATAAATTTATTATTTCATTTATTTATTACCACTCAAATTTTTTTTTGAAAAACTTTCTAACTACGAATGTAAAATTGCTTAAGCATCCCTCGATTTTGGTATTTCCCAGTTCTGCCACCCGGTCACACCGTCAATAACACCTTAGATTCGGACAATTTTTGGATCACGCACTTGTTTGTTTTGTTTACACAATTTACCAAGCACGAAACTCAATCGGGAGCTGCGACTACTTGGGGATTTGTCCGAGAAATCGAGGATTAGTGGACAGTGGAGTGGAGAATCGGGGAGAACGCCCCATGAGCAGTCTTCCGCAGAAATCGCCGCCGGTTGTCGCGTGTCTTTTCGCCCGAAAAACGCCAGAATTTCCGAGAATATCAATATCAGCTATTTATGGCTTCGAATGCGCAACTCGGGAAAATCATTTTGATATCCGCAATCGCCGTGTTCTTCTACTACTTTTTCTGGGTGGCCGTCCTCCCGTTTATGCTCATCGATGAAGGTAAACACGCCATATAGATGTAGATATAACCATTTAAAAGTCGGTGATTTTTCTCTCGGTTATAAGTTTTATTGAATAATCTGGCGCGCCTCTTTTGTGCAGTAATTAAAGTGATGCCGCGGCGTAAATTGGTCACGATATATACGTACATAGGTACACATTGCAAAGACAGTGTGGGTATTTCAAATCAAATCCTCAGAGGTCACCACTCGAAACCGGGGTTACCCGGAATGCGGCTCTATGAGTCTCTAAGCTCGGGTCAAGGTCACCGACGAACAGAGATGAGGAGTACAGTAGTCACCGGCTATATGCGCAGGCGTTTTTCACATAGTTTGCTAAGAAATTATAATATTGTTTTAAGATTTGTCAGCAAACTTATTTTTCTATTATTAAGAGATTATTATTATCTAAGGAGAATAAGCCCAAAAACAAATTTAATATTTTTACAGTAGACGGCTAAAAAAATTAGTATAACAAACTTCAACAGAAATAGAAATTTTATTTTTTTAAGCGAAGTTTTCATTGAAACTGCAAAATTTTATGATTCAAGTTTTCATTTATAAACAGTATCTTTTATAGCTAGGCATCTTTACAGTAGTTTGTTTATTAAAATAGCTTTAAAACCATATTTTTTTAATAGCTTATGTTAATAAATGACAAATTTTCTTTTTTATTACCGCATTACTTGAATTAATAAAAAAATCTACTTTATTAATGGAGCTAAACAAAAATTCGACAAAAGTTTAGGTAGGCATATTCCCCTATTAAACAAGGTTTTCAGCTAGCGAAATCGCTTGTAGATTTCAGTGTCAGCAATAAACATTTTCTTTTTTATTTCACCTGTTGGATATAAACTATACGCCCCATTGTTGAAATAACAAGCATGGTTTATAACAAATTTAGTTAGAGATTAAATATCAGCAATGAGCAAACGTTTGTTTACACCATTTGTCATACAAATTACGTTGATTTTGATTATTTGTTACATATAAGCATCATTTAGCTACGTAGTTTTTATACAAACAAATTGTTTTCGTTTTCACCATACCTCCTAGCTTTTTTTTCGCCATTTAAACGATTGATGATTTTCATGCCGTGACCAATCTAATTTGTAGCATTCTACACTAACCTAAAAATACAAAATCTAATCTTAAAGTCTTTAAAAAAGAATACTCTACAAACACAGGAAAACAATCGAGTTTCGCATTTCCCTTTTAACTTTCTAAAATAATTAATATTAATATTAAATTAATTGTAAAGGCAAAAACTATCACAAATATAGTATTAGTATTAGTAATTCTATGTTGATAAAAACAGTGAGCCCTTATTGAATTCTACCTAATTACAAAAAACAACTTAAAGAACAAATTAGGACAATTATAGTCTTAAATTAAATTTACTTGTATTATCCTTGTTATACCCCACTTTTCCTGTCAAAATTGTGATATATTAAAATATTTTTTGGGCTACAAAATTTTAAAAATTTTTTAATTGGTAATTACTTTGGCAAAGTAATTGGCAAATACTTTGACGCCTCATTGAACTCTGTCTAATCAACTCTTAATTTTTACCACCAGGTAATCCCATTCGACTGTTCTTCCCACCGCTGAAGTACGCATTCATAGTGCCCACTGTGTTCGGGGTGATCTTCCTCGGCGGCATTGCCGCGTTCTCCTTCTATCACATTTGGAGCCTCAGGTTAAAGCGCGATTAAGGGGTTATCACTGCCCTGTTGTGCGAACGTACGATTCCGATTTTGATTCTGGCTGAAAAACAGGAATAGGTTGGGAGATAGTCTGTTGTAAACAAGATGCCGCAGTGGCTGGTGATTGGAATCTCGGGCGTCACCTGCGGCGGCAAGACGACGCTGGCCCACAGTCTGCACGATTACTTCAAGGGTCTGAGTGGAGCGCCGCTGTGGAACTCGCCCTACACTATTGGTGAAGTGCGTCTGATCTCGCAGGACGACTACTTTCTGCCCGTGGACGACAAGCGGCATCAGCGGAATGAAGCGCTGAATGTCATCAATTTCGAGCTGATCACCTCGCTGGACATGGCCAAAATGCTGAACGACATAGCGCACATCATCAAGGGGGTGGCGCCAGAGCCACCGGAGCAGCAGCTGGTTACCTACGCCAATTTCGAGCACTATGCCATGCAGTTCCAGCAGCAGTATCACTACAATGCCAACTACTACAAGCAGGTCAATGGCTATCCACCGCCACAGCAGCAGCAGCAGCAGCCAAGGCTACACCACCAACACCATCATCATAATCACCACTCCCAGCAGCAGCAGCATCATCATCAGCAGCATCAGCAGCAGCAAATCCACCAGCAACAGCAGCAGGCGAGGCACATCATGCGTATCAATGCCCAGATAGCCGCCCAGCTGAGAGACAAAAAGATCAACTTCCTCCTGGTCGAGGGATTCATGATCTTCAATCAGCCGGAGCTGCTGGCCCTGTGCAACCTCAAGTACCATTTCCATCTGCCCTACGAGAAGTGCTTCGAGCGGCGCAGCAAACGCACCTACGATCCACCCGATGTCACCGGCTACTTTGAGCTCTGCGTTTGGCCGCACTACGAGAAGAACTTCAGCGAGTATCGGGATTGCAAGGACATCACATTCCTCAACGGGGAGATTGCCAAGGAGAAGATCTTCAAGTTCGTGCTCCAGCGTATTGTGCACTACTTCGAGGAGCGTTGCGAGGTCCCCACGCCAGCGCCACCCGCCGCCTGTCCACCGCAGCAAAAGCGCTTCGGAATGCTCTACGTGGGTTCCAGCAATAACAACGTGATGCCCACGGCCTGTCCCATGGAGCAGTAAATTGTCCTTCTTTAAAGCACAGTGTACAATAAAGGAATATTGTATATGTTATTAGGATGTTGAACGGTTCAAAATTGTTTGAATTGCTTCCCAGATTGTACATTAAGGCTTAGTTTTAAGCAAATCTAAGGGTGGTTCGATTTTTGATTGACCTAAAATATCTAAATTTACTTTGGTACTATCTTCATCGTTTTTGGAACTTAAGCTAGCAAAATTTCACACAAAACAAAAGTATTCCATTTAAAAAGTTTTTTGAAACATTTTGTAGGTTGATTTTTGCTTTAAAAGTCGTTTTGTTAGATATAAAATCCATTTTAACCAACGTAAAGTTCAAAGAAATTTGCAGTATTTTTTAGAAAATGTCTAGTTTGCCTAGCTTAGAATTTGCTTAAAGTTTTCAGCAAACAAAAATCATTTAATTCGAGCCTTGTGAGGATTAAAATCAGTTTTACAATGTGAGCATTAGTTCTGAAATTGATTTTAACCAGTATTGTTTAGAAAATATTTTTTTTGCCCAACCTTAAGCTGCTTTCCGCAAGGAATAGCAAAATAAAATGTCTTAATTAGATCTTTGTGACTATTTAAATAAATTTTAGAATGTGAGCAATCGATCTGAAGTCCAAAGAAATTTCCAGTATTGTTTAGTAAATATTTTTTGTGCCCAAACTACAATTTGCTTACACCCTCTTTTGGCTAATTTTTCGAAAACACAAATCGACCCGCCCCTAGAATATAACTTTTATTAGTTAGTCTTTATTTTGTATTAAGATAGTTATAGTTATGGGTGACATGGTCTGTCTCTCTTGTGGAGTATGCACTTGTGACCAGAAAAACGTGTGAAATGAAGAAACTCGGTTCAGGAATTCATATTTAGCTGTGCTAACTATTACACTTGTGTATTGTTTTACTATTACGTCATGGAATTTTGCAAAAACCCCACAAACGAGGCATTTGGTGAGTGGGCCGTTTTTATGGAGTCGAAAAGTTATTGTACTATATAATAGATATTTATATATATATATATATATATGCATATGCACATGCACACCTTGTAAATACCGTATAGTGTATAGTTACCAAGTTTAAACCTAGCTCTAAGACTATGACCTAATAGAATTCTATTTTTTCTTGTGCGAAACAAAACACACATACGAATAAACAGACATTTAACCGAAATGCAATCGTTTTTCGAACTAGTTAATTTGTTTATTTTTCGCCGCAATCCGGATTAAGGAGCTCATGGAACAGGACAAATTATAAATATATATAAATCATAAAATATAGTTAGTAATCGCTAAATATACAGGCGGCTTGTCATCGCTTTAAGGGGTATAATTTTCGCGTATTCTAGTTAGTGAAGTGGAGCGACGAAGTGGCTTGCCAAATTATTGCCAATTCAGTGAGTAGTTGGTGTTCCAATCGTGGTGGTCGGGCTACATGGATTATATCAATGTACTTCTTTATGCTTACAATTAAGGTAATAACTTTTTGCTTATATGATGCTTATGGTTGATCCTCAGGAGGCTGCAGCTGGAATTTAAAAGTTTGATTTTAATTAATGTGTGAGAAATGGGACGCACAAAAAAAACTTGTAAAATACAAAAATTGTTTCCAATTAAAAAATGTTGATTTATCATCTTAATCTTATTTTTTTTTGTTTATATTTTAGGACTTTGAATAGTAATAACTAAAATAGTTAAACAAATAGTATTTGAATTGTAGAGTATCTATGTTAGTAGACAATCGTCAAATGTTTATTATTAAATATTAGGTTCAGTGGTTAAAATGGCAGACTAATAATGTATGGGTTTAGTTCAGGCCCCGCTTTTGCAGGTAAATTTTCATGTTTCTTAAAAAAAAATCCTTCCTTAGTATACAAAGTTAGGTAAGAGCGCGAGTTCGACTCCAGTGCAGACAAAAGAGCAGAATAGTAAGTTATCTAATAAGAATAAGTAAATATAAAATTTATTTTATAAATAAACTATTATTTTCAAAGCAAATAAGTGGCATTACAAAATAATAAATTTTGTATGGATAGTGGCAACAATTATATATTATCTCCAACGATAGTTTTATAATTCGATTTTTTCCAAAGCCCTTAGAAAACAAATGCCCTCATGAGTTTTCGTACAGTTTTAACAATTAAATGGTATATTTAACATGTTTTATCTCAGTGTGTGGGGTGCATTGATTACTCACCCATGGCTGCTCTTTCCTAGAGGGCATCCCAGTCGGTCTGACTGTTGTAGACCTCCTCCTCCAGCCACACCGCATAGTTGGCCTTGAAGTAGTCCGTCAGCTCCACCTTGCGATCCCACCAGCCCGAATGGCCGAAGAAGGCAAAGTCGGAGTGCGTGAGGATCTCGTCGCTGGGAAAGCCACCCTCGACGCCATAATCGTTGAGCTGCTGCTGCTGATTATGACCGCCATTGCCACCGCCGCCGCCTCCGTTGTTGCCATAGCCATTGGCCTCGCCATTATTGCCACCACATCCATTGTTGCCGGCCATCATGTTCGATTGCTGGGCATTCTCCGCATTCTGGGCCGCCGTGCCATTGTTACCGCACTTCTGGGTGGCCTCCGGATAGCGCCGCAAGTTGAATCGATCCACGCAGGCACGCAGCGTGCACTCCTCCGCCTGGAAATCCCACGGCCGCGACTCCAGATCATTGCCAAAGGCCCAGTCGTCGTTCAGGCGATGCCTAACCTTGGAATAAATTGCACTCATGGTCTTCATGTTCGACTTGCGCCACTGGCGGCCCAAGTACTTGGTCTGCATCTTAAGCAACTTCAAAACATACAGCTGCATCATGGCATGACGCACCTTTAAGGTCTTCTTCAGAATCGGTGCCGACTTGAAGACCACCAGCATCATCACTCGCGAATGCTTCCATTTGATCAGTTTGTTGAGGATGCGCAGCAAATTAATGCACGAGAACACATTCCGCCAGGAGTAGGGCTTATCGGACATCTCACCGCCGTACACAAAGCTATCTCCACTCAAATCCGGCTGTTCGCCAATCACACAAGAGGGAAAATCCAGCAGGGGTATGGAATTCTTGGTGTTCACATACTCCGTGATTGTCTGGTTGAAGAACTTCAACACCAGCGGTATGCAGTTGGCAAACACCAAGTGCTGGGACATGAACTCGAACTGGTAGACATGGTTAATCTTAAAGTGCTTTAGATATAACAGAATGATGGCTGAAACAGCCTTCACAATGATCTCCTTGTGCCGACCCATGTCGACTGTTAGCTTGGTGGATTGCGTGGCCGTCTGCGGCAGCTTCTTGGGCAGCACATCGGCCATTATGTTGATGCTTTCCGTCTTGGATTTGGAAGTGGGTGAGGCTGCGAGTAGGACTTTCAACAAGGCAATCATATACTGCGGCAGGTTGGGCAATATTGCCTGGTAGAGCACTTCCGCTGGGGTCAGCTTGATCTCATCCTCGTGCGTGGAGATGGGATTCCTTGCAATATCCTCCTCCTTCTTGATCTGCACATCGGCCAGACTCATGTACATGTGTCGCTGCAGCGTCTTGAAGCCCTCGTGAATGGGTTGCGGCAGTCCGGCCAGACTTTCATGGTCGCCAATCAGTGAGTATCCAATGAACTTGTTTCGTGAAATATCCAAGAACTGATCTATGTCCTTCTGCCGCACCTTGGGCGTCCAGGGCAGGCGGGCCGTGATCTGCACTGGCGGCACAGCAGCGGGAGGCTGCGTCAGACTGGGCTGGTTATTGGGATTGGCCGTGGACGTGGTGGAGGCCGACGAGGAGGGATCATCATATGGCCTATAGTACTGCGAGAGCTCCTCCTCTCCGTTCCCGCCATTGCCACTGCCATTGTTGGCGTTGTTGCCCTGACCCTCGTTCCCACTCATCTCCATGTCAATCTGCTCCGGTTCGTCCAGGAAGCGCTGCTTCATCAGGGAGCGTCTGTTGTGGCAGAGATTTAAATAGTTAATATAGGTAAATAAATCATCTATACAGCTGCGCTCAAATTTTAAAAATAACATACAAAATGTTTTAAAATTGGCTTTTAAACTTTTTTTTTTTAGCCATTTTTATAAGCTTAAAAACCACTACTATTTTGACTGCAACTGTGACGTGATTTTATGAACCCCTCTTACTTGAAATTCCTTTTGGGATATTGGTTTTCTAGAATATCAGTGGCCGTAGCGGGTGGTGAACTGGCCCTCATGCATTTGGTGACCTCCAGGGTATCCTCGGTGATGGGTTCCAGACCCACCTTCAGCCGGTACTCGTTCTTGAGATTCTTGAGCACATCCATGCCGCCCAGACCCAAAAGTGAAACCTTCCACAGCAGCAGAACCACTTTCTTCATGGGAAACTGTGGTGCTGCGCCACTGCAGAACCTTGTGATCATGCCGAGCAGCTTGACAGCCAGCAATTCGCCATCTGGCAATGGGGAATTGATCTCCTGGGCAAAGGATTCGGCCAGTTCTTTGTAATCCTCGCTCCCGCGATCTCGCTCATCCCGTATGGTTTCTGTGATGATGTAGAGCACGGAGAGGATGACCCTGATGTCCGTGGAGTCGACTAGCGTGACATTGGTGATCTTCACGGCCACAATATCGGGGGAACAGGCACTCTCGATCTCCATGTTGAGCAGGTCAATGAAGGAGGCGAATACGCCAAGTTGATGGAGCACCAACACATTGTCCCTGGTGATTTGGTGCTGCTCCTCATCCGATTGCACCTCCGCCCAGCATCCTTGGGCCAAATAGAGGATGCAGCGGGCGGCCTGCATGCGAAAGGAACGATCGGAGACCTCCAGTTGGTCCACCAGTTTCATCACAATACCCCGCTGGGCAGCCGAGTCCTGTTTCTGCCAATTGGGCGGCAGATCGTAGAGTTCCATTTGATCCTCGAATGCCTTCACATTCATCTGGAACTCACTGAATTCCGTGTAGCTGTAGAGCTCGGCAATCTCGTTTTGGTAGCCATCCACATCGGAGTACACGAAATCCAGATCGGGACCATCGCAGTTGGCATCCGCATCGTGGGTGTCCTGCTCGAAGGAGTTGTTTATGGATGAGAGCATCATATTTTAAAGCTCCTTTTTCACCACAAGGGGATCTCCTCTTTTCACCGCAAAAGGGGATCTCTTTGTGTGGGTGTGTAGGTGTGTTGGTGTGTTAGCTATGCGTGTGTTTGTGTATCCTGCGGCGGTGGGCGTTGCGCCTGCAAAGGGCGTGGCTGCTCCTGCTCGCTGGTTTTCCCCACTCCGTTTCTCTAACAGGCGAACATCCTAAACATTTCCGGGTTCATTTCACTAGGATTTTGTCTATAAATTTCACTCGGAAATTTCACGCCAATAACAAAAAAAATGCACTATGGAAAAAGAAGAAAATTCGTGCGACCATTTGTGAAAATACTGAAATACTGACTATCTGGCAGGGCCGGGCGAACGGGTCTGGCAGCGCTGTCTGGGATTACTGGTATTTATATACTCCTATTATTTATGTTTGATAAATATTTCTTATTTTTTAATTTATCTACACAACTACAAGCTAACAGTGAAAATAGTGATGGGATAGTATTTATATTACGATTTAATTGCTTTTAATGTAATATTTAAATAAATAATAATAATAATTTAAATATAAAGATTTTGTCTGCATTTTTCTCGTAATCTATAAGCTTTACGCGAAAAACTCTCAAAACATGAAATGTCTATTTCAACCGGATCTTAAACTTTTGTGTAAAGATTTTATTGATGAGTTTATCTTATAGAATTTATGGAAAGAAAACAAAAAATATTTTACGTAAACATTCCTGAAAATTTGAAACTGATCGGGCGTTGGGGCTTCCGGAAGTAACACCTTCTAAACAAATTTCCTTGCATCTCACAAAATATAACTCAATATTACAATATTAATTAATGAGTGAAAAAGGAGTATAATGCTTGACTGATTGATATTTTCCTTTTAAGATTTCCTCTTGATTAAAACTACGTTTGCCACGGTTTGTTACCTAGTTAAAATTATTGATTATGATTACTATTTCTATAATAATAACAAATATGAAGAAATTTAAAAGTTTCTATAACAGTTTTGCTTAAAATCCCCGCCAGACCTGACAACTCTGAAAAAGCTTTTTTCCAATATGACCAGACGGCGAAACTAAAACAACGCATTCTCAAAGAATCTTACGCACACATATAAAATAGGGTTTTCGCAAGTCGCCGGTTGTAGTTTTATTTACGCTTCGAAAGAAAGTAAAGTGCTAAAGATTACTCATTGATATTACGACATAAGTAAGCCCAAACAATTTAACAAGTGTTTTGCTGCAGATAAAGCATATCGGCCGTATAAAGCACAGCTGGCATTCAATAATAAAAAAAAGGGAAAACAATCGAGTTTTGTACTTTGCACCCTATTTTCGTACATATCACCGTGATATTGCAAAATTCACTCATTCTATATTTGTATCCCTGCATCCGAAAATCAGTTCAGATCGTGGTGAAATCGAAGATATATAGTCGAAATATATATACTGAACAACACAATGGCCGGCCGTTCCATCGCGCACTTTATTTTCGGGTCCATAGCCATTGCTTTGGGTTCGTACATCTACTTTACCATGCAAGTAATTACCCAGAAAATCATACCTTCCTTCAAAATTGCTGTCAAATCAGTTTGTAGTTTCAAATATTAATGGCTTGCATGCGAAATGAGCAGCAGTAACAAGTCGTCGATTGACGTGGGCCAATCCTGACCAGGATTGCGTGACCCAATCCTGACCAATTTCTATTAAAACGTATGACTCATCGGGAATATAGATATAACCCTATTCTTTGACCCTGATGCATAATGCATAGTCACCCTGACCAGTGGACAAGGAAATCCGGATTTGGGCATAGGGGTGCTGATAATCACCACCTCATAAATACACAACTCTCAGACGGACTTATCAGTTTTTCGACATTTAGAATTCTTATAATCTTCAATGTGCCCTAGTGGTTAATCAGAAAACACTTTAATGTCCAGCATATAAACCACTATCTTTTACAAAAATTAAAAATAGAAATTACTTATAGGTAACCTAAGCTATTCAGAATTCCTCAAAAAAATAATCTATAATCTTAAATGTTGATCATTGGTCAATTAAAAAAAGTATATTATTTGACAAAATTCACTATATCTTTAACGAAAACAACGATTTACAAATAACAACTTACATATTCTATAAATGGAACAATTTTGAGTCACTGATATTTATAGGGTTTATAACAAAGACATACGTTAATCTTCTAAATATTTTATTTATTTTGGTTGAATATATTTATTTTTACTAGAAAATTTTAATTTTGTATACCAACATTTTAAAGAAACGTAATCCTTTTAAATCATATACAGTTTTCTAGTTCTAATTTTCCCGAATTAAGTACTCCTACACTATTCTACCCAGTGAAATATAAAGTCACTTATTCTAATAAATCGACTGTTGCTTAACTTAAATTCTGCCTGGTTATTTGCAGCGCTTAAAGTATGAGTCTCAGGCAGTTTCAGAACATTTCCCGCCAGGCCCTCAGGTGCTATTCAATCAGGCGGACCCTTGGCCCCGCCCTCGAGCTGAGTCAGGGTCAAAGGTCGGGGCTGCGCCTCTGCACCGTCCTTCTTCCCGTGAGCTGTGCGGCCACATCCGCTTCCTCAGCCGCCTCCTCAGCCGCCCAGTACTCCACAGCAGCTGCCGTGAGTAGTGCTGACAGACTACTATATAGTTGACTAGTTCTTAATCTGTTGACTAACTCAGTTGCTTGTCTCTACGCCGAACTAATCGTTGTTGCCTCTGCCTTTTTGCCTGTGTTCTTTGTTTTCTGTATTATATCTTTTGTAGAATGGGTAGATTTTGATACAGAATATTTTTATGTTTAAAGAAAAGTCATATATGCATATTTAAACAACAAAAGTAATAACTTGTCGATTTTTTCCCATTTGCTAGAAACTTCATTCATTGATATGGTAATGGAAACGATTATTTTTGTTGTCAAAAATTAAACCTATGTTAAAACATATAAAGGACAGAACGAGATTTCAAATTTTATAAGAAAATTAAAGAGACAAATTCCTTAAAGTATAACTTAAAAAGTTAAAAACTGCAAAGAATGTAAATTCTTTAGGACTCCAAGACAAGTTTAATAAAATATTATAAAAAAGTAACAAATATTGCACAGCAGAAAAATTGTAAAATTTATGAAATATTTAGTTTGAATCTTTCTTAATTTCTTTATCAAAGATTCGACCCATTCTATTCACACCCATTTAATAGTATTCCTTACTGACCCCTAATTTCCCTTGCTTCCAGATCGACATGTCTGCTAACGGAGATTACAAGAACGCCGCCTCGATCTACGAGTTCACGGTGAAGGACACCCATGGCAATGATGTCTCGCTGGACAAGTACAAGGGCAAGGTGGTCCTGGTGGTGAACATCGCCTCCAAGTGTGGACTGACCAAGAACAACTACGAGAAGTTGACGGATCTGAAGGAGAAGTTCGGCGAAAGGGGTTTGGTCATCCTGAACTTCCCGTGCAATCAGTTTGGATCCCAGATGCCGGAGGCCGATGGCGAGGCCATGGTGTGCCATCTGCGCGACGCGAAGGCTGATATTGGCGAGGTCTTTGCCAAGGTAATACTAACTAAGTAATATGTTATACTTACATCGCTAGCCTTGTCCGTTTGTCCGTCCGTCTGTCCGTTTGTCCGTTTCTAAGCTAATTAGTCTGTTTTAAAGCTGCCTTGATGAAACTTTTCCTTTAATGGCAGGTAGTATATAAGTCAGAAAGACTATATGATATATCGCTTCAGTTGGAAAAATCCGAAAAATACTAGAAAAATAAAGTATAACTTTGCTGTATTTCCATTTTTTGGAATTTCCCTTGAAATATAGTAATGTTATACGGTTTTGGTTTTATAAAAAACGGACAACGATTTCACATAGCTTTTATTAAAACCATCAAAATGTGCACTGTTTTTAAACATATGCACTTTAAAATCAAAGCTGTCGGGTATATTAACTTCGGCTTGCCGAAATTATCTTGCTTTCTTGTTTGTTTTACCAGTTTACTAACTTTGCATACCCTTTAGGTCGATGTGAATGGCGATAATGCGGCGCCCTTGTACAAATATTTGAAGGCCAAGCAGACGGGCACTTTGGGAAGCGGAATCAAGTGGAACTTCACCAAGTTTCTGGTGAACAAGGAGGGCATTCCCATCAACCGATATGCCCCGACCACCGATCCCATGGACATATCCAAGGATATCGAGAAGTTGCTGTAGACGTAGCTGTCCCATGGATAAATGAAACCTATATCTTATGGACTGTGTTTTTCGCGTAGCCTTAGCTTGTAACAACCGCCTGGCCAACAGATAGTATTTTGTGGCTGGCCACATGCACCGCATGTTATATATACTATATATATAGTCTACTCTTTACTGGTTTTTGATTATTCCCACCCACAAAAACATAATAAACGCCATTTGTGGTTACCACACCAACCAGCTTATCGGCTTTTTTGTCCATGCCAAGCACGTATTTGGATTGGAGTCGCTTGGAATCACTTACCATGCTGAGGCGACCCTTTTGAATGCGCTTGATCAATCCCGCCATGTGGTAGACCACGGCCTCTCCAGTTTGGATGCACTGCATCTTGGCCGGTTTGTAGGCGTTTATGTGATCGTACATGAGTCCCCAGGTCGCAGTTTACGTCCCTGATCTGGAGTTTTACTTTGGAGATAGTTTTTATTTAGTGAATTTGAAAAAAAGGGCATGTCAAAATTGAGTAGAAAATGGAATTGGAAATGGATTGCTCCTATGGCAGGCATAGGCTATAGTCGTCGGATATAGATTTTTTTTACAATGATCACTTAAAGAAAATAAATTTGGAAAGTTCCAAGAATCAAACTTAATCTGCGTATACATAACTTTCTGGGTATTTAAAAGTTATTTACATTATTGTCCTAACGTGAAAACTAATAAATAACTTTAATATTTAAATAGATGAAATTTTATTCTTATAAATTATATTTTTTAATAATATTCATCCAAATTATTATCACAAATTAATCTATCTAATCTAACTATTAGTCGCTTCCTAAATAAAAAAAAACGGGTTCAACTTTTTGACCAAATTGGTTTTTAAAATATGTATTTTATTCTCCTGATTGCATTCACTAAACATTAATTAACAAAAACGGGGACCTCGATCAATTAGTGTGACTTTCAAATTTTTCAAACCTTTTTTGACTTTGTGCTTACTTTCGCAAAGTTTTTTAAAATTTATTAATTAAAAACTATATTTTTACACTTTCCTACTTAACATTTGCGCCGCACATTTGACTTTGACTTTATTTGTTTTTAAAATGGCTTGCAGAAATAAACAGAAATACTTCACATTAACCTTTACCTTCTTTTCGAATTCGAGTGCTTATATTGGCCAAAAATATTCGCCCAACTTCCATTGCGCAAATTTGCCTGACCAGCACCCCCAAATTCGATTCCATTGACCCATTGGAGGATCTCCACTTGCTCCTCCTCCGCCACCGTCTCCTTCTCGTCCAGTGGAGCAGTGGTTCAACGTCTCGGCTCGGATTTCAAGTTCAAACGAGTTGCCAACGGTGCTGCGATTCTGACCTTCCGACAATTACACGAAAATGCTGCACCGCCCATTTACGGATGCCATCGAAATTCGGAGTCGAGATCAGATGAGGCCAAAAAAAAACTATAACTAAAAGCTGCAATGAAATTAGGTATACATTATATTTAATTTTATATATTTACATTTTTAAGAAAATATAATTTAAAATTTTAATTTTACGTCTCTATGTTTTTCTAAATCTTAATCAATTTAAATGACTTAAAAATATTTTAAGACATTAAAATTAAAAAAAAAATAATTAATATTGGTCACCGAAATTCGGAGTCAAAATCAGATGAGGCCGAAAAAAACTATAAATAAAACCTGCAAAATAATTAAGTATATAATATATTTAAATTTATATATTAACATTTTTAAGAAATCTTAATCATTCATTTTTCTAAATCTTAATCAATTCAAATGATTTAAAAATATTTTAAGACATTAAACAAAATTATTATTTGACACCGAAATACGGAATTGAAATCATTTCACAAGGAAAACAATACTATATCTAAGATCTAAAATTAAATTACTATATAACAAGAAGATACAATAATATTTTTAATTTTAATATATTTTCTCGCAGTGTTGGTGCGTGCCACACAAGTGTGAAGCGATGACAGCAATTTGTTGAATGCATCATCGATCAAATGCGATCGCTCCATCGCCAGAACGAAATGCCTTTAATTGTAGAACTGGGTTAAGCATCTGAGACTCATCCCTAAACAGTTTGGCCCAGGTCAGTATTCAGTATTCAGTATATTGGAGCTATTGAAGCTATTGTAGCTATTGTAGCTATTTGCTATTTCCATTGACTGCAGTTGACTTTGACACTGATCGCGATTGCGAGCGCTGATGGCTCCCCCAATTTGAAATCGGATTTCTACCTCAAAATTGAAATCCGTATAAATATGCGGAGCACACTCCACTCGATCAATCAGACAGTTTTGCTCAGCTTTGCAGGTGGTCAGCAGTGATTGGAGTTGGATTTGGACTTTGGATTTCTCGGACTTTGGATTGGACAGGTTCAGGATAAGGATCAGGATGCGAGGAGTGCTGGTGCTCCTGCTGTTGGTGGCTTCGAGCCAAGTGGAGGCGGCCACCCATGTGAACATTTCGATTGCCCAGCAACCGGCCACAAATCCCGCGGATGTCAAGTACTTGGAGGGCAGTGCTCCGGCGGAACTGAGGGCAGGTCCTCAGCGGAGCGATGGAGATCAGGATCAGCACTTTCAGCGCATCCAATCCTCATCGCAGTCCCAGCAACAGCAACAACAACAGATGGTTCAAACCCAACAGCAGCAGCAGCAACCACAACAGTTGTCTCCTCGCCAGGGATTGGGATTACAGCCACCAACTCACACTGGTAAAAAAACATAGTTAATTCAAGTATTTTATACTCAATTTAAATATTTTTTTGATTTTATTTTCGCTTATTGCAGTGTTCTAGACATTTTTAATATGGAAATAATTTTTTTTTGATTTTTTTGTTAGTGTTTGAGTTTAATATTTTCGAAAGATATTTTTTTTTAGATAGACATATTTTTTTTTTTTGTTAAGAAATTGTAATTTCTATTATAAATCATAATTTTTCCATATTTATTCAAATACCGTATTAAACTTTTATATATGGCTTTTAAAGAAGACCTGTATTAAATGTAAATTTTTCCAAATGAATTAAGAAATATAATTATTACATAATATATAATGATGTAATTTAACAAGTAATGATTTAAAACTGGATTTTACATTTGACTTTAATAAAATGTGTTAATAGAGATTTATTTGTACCATTCCATTTTTGTTTTCAGTGCAGGGTCAGCCATCGATGTCCAAGATTGGTCGAGTGCCCCGAAGGAGGAACCAAAGCAGACGCCCCTCGATCCACCAGCAGCCACCAGTGAACCACAGTGGCCAATTCCGACAGAGGAATCAGCAGCTCCGCCAGAACCAGGAGTTCGAGCGGTACATCCAGTCCTACCACAGCCATGGACCCACTGTGGAGACGGTGAGTAAATGCTTGGAGCCTACAAAATATTTTCAAAGAATTTATTAGCTAAAGTTTTTGAGCTTAAGTTAAGGAGCGGGCTATTATGTTAGATATTTTTGCTTAAAGAATTCTTTAACTTATGTTGACAATTTTACGTAAAATTTGTTAAAATTGCATGCAATTAAATTAAAATATTCCTTTAAAGGGTTCAAAAAATTAAAGCGCGGATAAAATAATATAAAATCTCCTTTCCTCACCAGGTCTACGAGTCATCGAATCCCACCCCCCAGCGCTACACCCAAACCAGCGCCGGAGTAACATCCTCCATGGATGATGCTGCCCCCCAGAAATTGGTTACCATTGGAGGTGGTCATCGCTCCCAGCAGCTGAGGATGTTCGAGCGCCAGGTGGCTGCTCCCGTTGCCAGCCAGGGTCAAAGTGCAAATGTGGAGGTGGCACCAGCGGACAGCAAGCCCATCTATGAGCCAGCTCAGCAGGGACCCATTCAAACGCCCTCTGTGACTGCCAGTTCGTCATCGTCGACGGGAGGAGCCAGTGTCTCCTCATCCTCATCCTCAGCCACCTCTGCATCGAGTGCTCCTGCTCCGGCTGCTCCTTCATCAGATTCCTCCTCCGGCTATGATTCCTCATCGGGTTTCAATCCAGCCACCAGTTACAATCGCCCAAGTTACGATCCCAGTGGCTTCAACTACGAGGATGCTCCAGAGGTGGACTACCAGGATCAGTATCCCCCCGAGTTGGTGGACGATGGTCAGGGCTATGAGGATTACGGAGGCGGCTCGGGCTACCTGCCACCTGCTCCTCCTTCCAGGGGCTACAGCCCACCACAACGACCACTGGTGACCAAAACCATTCAAATAGTTCAGCCTGCCCTGAAGGCCAAGAAATACGAGGTGCGTCATCCGGCCATTCAAAAGGAGTTCTACGACATTGAGGAGCGGGTGGTGATCAAGCCGGCTGGCACACTGGTGGTGGAACTGGAGCATCCGGTGGCTAAGATTCCCAAGGGGGAAACCTTACTGCCCCTGGGACATCCTCATCCCGCCGTGGCCTCTGCTTACAGTAATGGCAATAATGGTCAGACTTATGGCAACAACGGGGAGTACAGACCTTCGTATGAGCCAGCTTCAGCTGTCAAGGATCAGCAGACCACCACCATAGGCTCCAGTGTCACGACTATGCCCTCCTATAACCAGGCACCCAAGGATGACTATGTGGAGTCGCGATTGCACCAGCAGCAGCAGCAGCCTTTGGGCGATGTCACCGATGGTCAGCAGAAGAACTCCCCTCCCTCATTTGTCACAGGAGTAGATGCCCAGGGTAACGCCATCAAGATCAACTCCAAGCACCTCTCACCCAACATGGTGCAGAGGGCCGAGCAGCCGGAGCAGCCGGATTACCCACGATCCGGAGGTCAAAGGGTGGTCTATCAGCAGAGGACCAACTACAATCGCCAGCCTTACAGCCAAGAGGATGATGACTACTTCGCAGGGGAGTATCTGCCCAATGTAAATGCTGGCAAGGTGGAGAACAAGCCGGCTAGATTGGAATTGGCCGAAGTGGGGGATCGGGAGGAGGCGGAGGAGCGACCCACTCAGATCATCAAGCATGAGCATAAGATTCACTTGCCACCCTCGCAGCATAATATCTACTTGGGCAGCAGTCGAACTCAGGTTCCTTTGAAGGAAAGGAGAATCCAGGAGGTGCCTGCCCAGGTCTCGGAAATTAAACCATATCTGAAGAACCACATGGGACCCACTGTAGTTTATGCCAAGAGTCAGCCACCTAGGAGCTACTACAATAAGCCATCCAGGCAGCGAGTTGCCGAGGAGCTGGACTACAGTGCCCCCTATTCCCAGATGAGATTCAGTCCGGATGGGTCATCCTCTCGCTTAAGGCAGTCCTCTCAAATGGGTTACAAATCTGAGAGATTAATGGAGGCACCACCTAAAAATCAGGAAAAGGAGGAGCTCAAGAAGGAGCAGAATACGCACATACAAATCCAGATAGCCAATGACCAGGTGGCCAGCACTATAACGCCAGATTGCGATAGAGCAACGCAACAGAAGTCCCAGCGTTTGGTAGAGGCACCAGTCAATTCCGAGGTGTCCGCCACACAGGCCACTCCCTCAACCCAGGCCAAGTCCCAGCCAGACGTGGATGTGTCCCAGAATGGAGCCGCTGGCCACTTGAAACCCAATGAGCGAGTGATTGCGGCCACTGCTGCGCCCACAGATGCCTCCGCCACCAGTGAGACCTTCCACAAGCGGCGCATCGTGATCAATCATCCCTTCCAAACGGTGCGCGAGGTGGTGGAGCACGAACCCTTCACCAACTACCACCAGATCCAGGTGAATGAGCCGGCTCCGCCCTCGCACTATCATCAGGCGTACTATCAACCGGCGGCGCCACAAACCCACGGCAGCTTGGTCCACTTTCAGACTTCGTCCACCCATGGCAACCTATTTACTCCATATGGATAAGATGCGATTATGGGAATCTCTGAAGTCTCCGAACTACGAACGCACCCGGCCAATGCATTTCCTCTGTTAATTGTTATCTTAGTTTTAGCATAGATATCCCCTAAGATAGAACCCAAAAACCGGTGGAAGGGCCCTTTCCATGAACACCCTGATCGCTTTAATCACATAGACTTAAGTGCAGTTCTACTTGCCAACAATAAAGTGCACACAAAATAATTAAAAAAATGGGAGTTTTTGTTATTATTCTGAAGAAATTATAATTGAATTTAGTGATTTTAATTTGTTTTTTAATTTTAAAGGTAACTTAAAAAAATTAAAACAAAAACCATCTTAATTGCTGCAATCAATAAAGTGCAAATACTAGTTTAGGTAAATGATTCTAAAGCAATTTTTGATATCAAGAAAATGTTCAGAAAATATAAGTTTTGGATATTATTATAAGGGAACTCTTTATCTATAATATATATTTTTCTGCAAAATCCGTTTCAACTCGGTAGTTTTAAAAGAAGAAAACAAAACATACAAGTTTTTTAAAAGAAAGTTAAAACAAAAACACCTCAAGTGCATACAAAATGTTAAATATACAGTTTATTTAAATGATTGATTTTATTTTACCAATTATCAATTAATTTATTGGTTTTAAAAGCATTTTAAAATACATCCTAACTGCAGTTTTACTAAGTGTTAGTTAGAATTTACAAAAAAATAAAAACCCATTCTAAATATACAAAGTTTTGTTTTCCTTTTTTTTGTGATATCACATAACATGGCTATATATATCTGTCATAGAAAAATATCTTATATTTGGTTAGGCACGAGCCGGAGAAAACAATCCCTAAAATATAGTAGGCTTTTATATATATTAAAGAAATGCTTAGCTGGCAAGTATTAGGAAACAAATAATGTGTTAATTGTTTTGATGAAGTTTTAAGATTTTAGGGCTACTTGCCAGGTTCTAATGATGTGATGCATTTTCCCAATCATTAAATAAACTTGAATTCATGCTAGGAATGGTGGAACACCCCTTAATAGACTTTCTTTCAAGCTTGGTTACGCTCGTTTCGGTTTTCCCAGAGGTTCATCATCACTGGAGTAGTCGGATTCTGGGCTAACCAAGAGTTTTGGTCTCGAGGGTGGCTCTTCATCGCTGAAGGAGTCAGATTGATTAGCTCCACTAGCTCCACTTAAAACGTTGGCTATCTTTTCCGTTTGAGCTGAGACTACAGCGGGATCTACGGTTGGAGTTGACAGCAGGGCAGCCGTGATAAGCGTGGAAGTTGAAGGAGCATCTAGTAGAGGCTCTAAAAGGATAATAGATATTAACAAATGTAAGTAGATTTTAAACAAGTTCACATGTTCTTACCCTGATCGTTGAGCAATCCGTGGTTTGCCTCCCGCCGTTTGGTCACCACAATGGCCGTGATGTAGAAGGTGAAAATGGGCAGCAGGACGACCACGCCCACAGCGATCAGGAAGTTGGTCAGTTTCACCTCTCGCTGACAGCATTTTAGGGTTTTGGACCAGTTCAAACGGGTGCGGTTCATCTGGAAAAAATGGAAACATAAATGTTTAAATTAGTGGTCATGACGTTCATCTGCATAAGCCAATAAAATTATTCAATTTTGAATTTGGAGTCTTGATATTTTGAAGGTTTCCAAGGTTTTTACTAATAATTTATATTTACTATTGATTTAATATATATCTATATATTACTATATTACTTACATTATCCTGCAGATCGAAGCACACTTTACCACTGACATTGGATTCCATTTTGAGGTAGAACTCGTTTAGGCCCAGATAATATGGCTTGCAGGCTGAGCACACCACATCGGATTTATAAGTTTCCAAGCACTTCTGCAATTCGAGGTATTTGCTGTCATATTTGGACCAATATTCATTCCTGAAGCAATCTGAAGAGTGGAAAAAAGAGGGAGTGAATCATAAATAGATAATGGGGAATCCCAGAGACTCACTATCGCAGTTGGCCTTTTGCCACAGGCTGGTGAGGATTCCCTGGGTGGTGGCCACTATGTTGATCCTGTCTGAGTTGAGGTATCTCTTGGAGCAATTGGCATCCGCAATGAGGTTCTGGTAATCCTTGCTGAGCTCCTGGTAAAGTAAATCGCATCCGATGCAGAGATTCACGGGCACCGACTTTGTGGTGGCGCAGTAGATGAACTTGCTCTGGCCATTGCCCAAATCGCCCACCAGTTTGTCGCAGTGCGGAGTCTCTACGGCCAGCAACAGGTTAAACCGGCAACCGAGGGTTAAGAAAAACCCTACAAAAACAAAATAGCCCTTCATATTTTGTTTGTTATTCTTTTGTTTTGGATACTCCTCCCAGTGTGACCGTCTACTTTTTTGCAATAAAAAACCACAAGAAAAGGTGGAAATATCTGGCAGCGCTGACAGGAAGGCGGGAAATTTAAATTTATAGTTCAGTTTGCAGCGTATAAATTAAATGGAAAAATAAATACACTTGATAAATAAAATCATTTTCATTTTTCTTAATTGTTAAATTATAATAGTCATTTCTCTCTATATTTATTACGTTTATTCATTAACAAAAAACATTTATTTAACTTATATTCAAAAACTAAAATATTTTAAATTTTTTTTAATTCTATAATAGTAAATTACTAAAGTCGTTTTTACCAGTAAAGGCTATATTTTTACTTATATCTTAATATTATTGATTACTTTACCTTCTTTATAATAATTTTAAGATAAAGGCTAGACGTTTAGCCTAAATTAATACAAAAAGCATCTCAATCTAAAAATATATCATGTTTATTTGTTTATGAAAAATTCCGTTCAAGCTGCTGGCTGATTAATCTTAACTGCTGATCAAACCGTAAACTCCCTCAACAAAAGTCAACACCTTAATCGTTTTCCTGTTAAATCTGTAAACATGCATTCACTTAATTACAGATGAATTCTAAATACAAAAGATCGGGGTTACAAAAAAAAGGAAAATTTTTATATAAGATGTCCAGTCTAAATTCTGTTAAAACATATAAGTAAACTTTATTTATCTTTCGCTGATGAATTTAACCTATACAACGCCGATCGACGCTGGCAGCGAAAGTGGCAGATTCAGCCCTATATAAGATCAATCGATGATCTGAGTTCTTCACTATCTCGAGTAACTTACACTAGATACCCAACCGAAAACTCAACCAAAAATGATGCAAATCAAGTACTTGTTCGCCCTCTTCGCTGTCCTGATGCTGGTTGTCCTGGGATCCCAGCAAGCGGATGCCGACTGTCTATCCGGAAGATATAGGGGTCCCTGTGCCGTCTGGGACAATGAGACCTGCCGTCGAGTGTGCAGGGAGGAAGGACGACCCAGTGGCCACTGCAGTGCCAGCCTCAAGTGCTGGTGCGAAGGATGCTGAATTGAGGGAATTTCATCGTTTTATCCACAAAGTTTAACAATCAATCAAAACACTAATATTAATTCAATAAAATAAACAAACTTTGATGCAGCAAAAGCTTCACTGACTTACGATCTTATTTTTTCCTGCATCGATAGTGTTTAATTTCTCCCTTATTATGATTTTGTGTGTTGTATTTCCCTGAAACGAATTCGAATTTTGTGTCCTTGTATCTGTTCAAAACCCGAGTTTTACCATCGTTTTTCTTAATTAAAGGATAGGGCAGTGTTCAATTTAATGAATATAATTGCATTTTAAATTTCTTACGTATTTTTTCATGTTTTAAGAACCAAATGCTTTTAGTTATTGAAGAAAAGCTTTAGCACGACTTTAGACCAAATAGTTTTCTCTTCTGTATTTTCTGTATTTTCTATATTTTTAATTATATTTTAAAAACGGTTGGACCAGTAGAAAACCTAGCTGTATTATATTCGGCACAACACAAATGGTTGAGTGTTCTTCATTTAGGAAATTAAGAAAACAAAAACGTAAAATTAAAACTGTTATTCAATAATAGTAAACCATTTCAATATATTGTTATTTATTTATTTTTTTATTTACTATCCTAGTGCTAAGAGAGAATTTTATATATAGTTCTCTAGCCACGAAAACTAATCAAACATTACTAAACATTGTTTAGTATATTATACTTATATTTATATTTTATTTTTATTTAAATTTACTTAGATAAATCGTTTAAATACTGCCGAAACTATTATACCTTTCAAGGGTAAAATAAATAGGTTCTTAGGTAGTTAAGCATTTCAGTCTGCATTTGTTTCGGTATTTTAAATTGTCTAATTAAACTCATAGATGGTATAATTGTAAACCAAACGGTAAGTCAATAATGGTTTTCCTGCCATAAAGTATATTTACTTTATTGAATTTCTAAAGTTGGTGGAGCAAAATGAAATGTAATTTTAGCATCCTTCGCACCAGCACTTGAGGCTGGGACTGCAGTGGCCACTGGGTCGTCTTTCCTCCCTGCACACTCGTCGGCAGGTCTCATTGTCCCAGACGGCACAGGGACCCCTATATCTCCTCGAAAGACAGTCGGCATCGACTTGGTTGGATCCCAGGATTACCAGCATCATGACAGCCAAGAGGGCGAACAAGTACTTGATGTGCATCATTTTTGGGTATCTAGTGTAAGTTACTCGAGATATTGAAGAAGTCAGATCCTCAGAAGTTCTTATATAGGACTGAAACTGTCGATTCACTGCCAGCACCGATCAGCGCAGTTTAAATAAATAAGTAAAGTTTACTTAAATGTTGTTACAGAATTTTGGTTGGACTCTTAAACAATGCAAGTCAAATAGCGCAATGATAAATCGAATGAATTGTTTACGCGAGCATGAACAATAAAAATATATATAAATAAATACATTTTTCATGAATTATTCTGCCGTTCTACAATTAAAGAACGAAGTCTTATGATTTTAGGGAAATGCTTTTTATTCAAGGTAGTTATTAAGCATATTTTTATACCCTTTTATATTGCATAGGGTATTATAATTTCAGTCAGAAGTTTGCAACGCAGTCCGTTCTTCCGATTTATTATTTATTAAAGAAAGTAATTCATGTCTTTCTCTTTTTGTAGCACTTGGACAATGCCCATGGTGCATCTCCAGAACTGCCCTCGATCATAAAGCCGGAATCCAAAGCCGTGATCAGTTTTGTTCAAAGTTCGAAATTCAAAACCGTCGACTTTGTAACGGCAAGGCGCTGCGGCAGAGGGAAAGCAGAGTAGAGATGGACAAATTTGATTTTTCCCCGCCAAAAATCGATAAGACCGATGTTTTGTAATCGATGTTTCTCTACCTCCAATCGATAGCAAATTAGGAAATCGGCGCTCTGCGAGATTATTTAGTGGGAAACAAGATTGTTCATCTGGCCACACTGCTCTACGCTCAGATTCAAATTGTTTTTTTCGATCGGCGAGGCAAGGTGCGCGCGGACAAGTCGGTAGATCCCAAAACCGCTAGCAACTCAAAAATAAATATCGCAGTGCAAAAAAAAAAGAAACAACAAACGAGAGCCAGCAAATAAACGTAATCAGCGTTTCAAATTCCCTCTCTCTATTTTTCGCTCTCTTCAAGCCGCTCTTGTTGTTGTTTGTGTGCTATTAGAAAATTGTATCGTTGTTGCTGTTGCGCCCGGTGTTTAAAACGCGGCTATTTCTAATTACTGCCCCAAAAAAAAAAGAGAAAAAAACCCACAAAGCTGGTTTTTGCGTGAGAAAGCAACTGGTGTGCATTGGAATTCTTTATTAAGGTCGAAAAGCAGCAACAAGTGACAAAAATTCTTTAGATTTGGCATAAATTAAAACAGAATCCCCAAAGTTGAGATTTCTTTGGTTTTAACACTTTTTCGGCTTGTGTTTTGTGTTGTTTTTGTAAGCAAAGAACGCCGCTTGTGGTCGAAGCAACAAAAACAACTTTCCGGTTTTTCTCCTCCCCTTTCCCCATCCTCCATCATCCTCCTCCTCCTGTTCGCGTTCTCTCTTATTTTTGTACAACCATCTTTTTCGTGTGCTTGTGTGTGTGTGTTAAGAAAACTAAGAAGAGAGGCGAAAGGAGGAGAAAGATCGCAGTGAAAACAGTAGGCGAAAAACAAATAAATACCGGAATTTATGTAAATTGCAGCAGCTAAAGAAGAAGAAGAAGAAATCTGGAAAATACATATATATAGTTTTTTGTGCGCCCAGGATATAAACGTAAATCATTCAAGCTGGATTTGGGATACTACGAGGCTGTCAAAGGTAAGCGAAAAACAGAAAAACCGGATTCGAATTGGAGTAAAGATCGTTAAATAAATATGGGATGTTTTACGGTCCGATGCTCCACTTTATAAGCCAATAAACCCGGCGCAAGGTGTTGCATAATATCAATAGGGCTGCCAAACTGTACAACAGTAAAGGGCACACGATCCTCCATCCATTCTACCAATCCATTATGTTCAAGTTGCGTGCGAACAGGTCGTAAAAATTGCCAAGCTGTCATATACAGTCACACAGTAGAGTTTGGATAAGAGGACTTTTTCTAGGTACTTTATAGAAAAATTCTTAATTGCGTTTCAGCATTTTCTGAGCTTAGGACATTTTTTCAAATTTTGGCAGTAGAATTTTATAAATTGTTAAAGAATTTTTTTAAATTAATACCAAAGTCATTATTAAGCATATTATTTAATGTATTTAGTTCCTAAAAGATAGATTTAGTTTTAGTTATAGAAGGAGATCTGTAGTTCTGATATAAATTAGCATAACGAGGGGTACGGGGTGCCCTCCCCCATTTTCCCCTCTTTGGGCACAGGTGTCCAAGTCAGGCTCTCTTATTTTTTTCTGGGCTGTGTTGGCCAGTCGTCGTAAACTAGGCTAAATAGGGTCTAAGCCAAAGCACGTTTTGGCTTTGCCCGTCTCACTCACACCTCCCCCCTCTAGATCAGGCTATCTCGCTTTGGGCTTGGTTTATTTTTAAACCGCATTCCGCCTGGGTACTTTGTGTCTCGCTCTGAAGTTCCACTATCTCACTCGCTCATTAGCCGTTAAGCTTGAAAGTTTTAAAGCCACTGAACTGAGCACTGTGATTTGCAAAGTACAATGCCAATAAATGCATTCGCAAGACAATTGCCGTTTAAATTCAATTACACTTAACGGGTCATCGAGAGGCCAATGACTATCAACAAGGCCAAGTCATCGAGTCGGGAGAAAGGAGATTGGCGAAGAGATCGGAAGAAGGGGAAATGCCAACGCCCCCAATGTAGCAGCCCATTTTCATACAGTTGTGGCCATCAAGACAATCACTCTAATAATCATATCAAATGGTAGCATGAAATTACAAATATTGTTTTACAAAGTTTGTGATCTTTATTCGGTCACTATGGAGGTGTTGTAGTAAAAGGTAATATAGATAAACTCCTTTCAGTCTTTACAATTTAAAGTACACAGAAAAGTAGGTAGCCTTATTTGGATTTTAATAAAATGTTCATAACTCGGTTAACTTTACGACTAGCAACTTAAAATTTGTTTGCAATATCCAACACAATAGTTTGATACATTTGTGATCTGATCGCTTGTATGTTTTATCCTTTTATGTTTATCTTAAAAGTCTCAAAACATTTAGGGCTCCCACTGTTTTGACCCCAAGTGTGTCCCAGTGTAAACAGATGCCGATCACTGCAGGAAAACTGCAGCAACAGCAATAGGGAGCACTATTCCAATGACTGTCAAACTTTCCAGCGATATACAATTCCTATTGGAGACCCAGTTGGTCCATTTTTGAATTCTTTTTACATTCCCCCTTTGAACACCAAAACACACAGGCATACGATTGCACATGGACTTGTTTATATCTCAGCACTTTGTTGTTCTTTTTTCCAATTAGATGTCTGCACTGCAGCTGGCCACGTTGCTGTTGTTGTTGCACTCTTATTGGAGTTTTTACTGCGGCGTTCTTTGCCGTTTTGCACAATTTGTGCGGTGTACTTTTTATTTGTTTTCATTTCAAGTTCCCCGAGTGTCTGTCTCCCTTTCCCTTTTTTTTGCTTTTGCCGAGTTGGCCAGTGTACACTATGCATAATCCCATTCAAAATCAGCCAGAGTCAATCAATCACGGCCTTTTTTCGGAACACACCGCGTGCCAATCAATCAAAGGCCATAAAGCGAATTTAGAACGAATTTTAGTGATTTTACGAAACGAGTCTTATCGCTGTGTCAGCAATTATGAAGCATGTACAGTCCGATTTCTTTAAATCGAACTTTTCTTTTCAATATTGTTTCAGGAGAATTTTCGTATTTTATTTATATTTATTTTTAAACTCCTTTTGATAAAATACCATATTATCTCAACAATCAAAATTAGACCAATTTTGTTAAGCTGATTTTTGTATTTCATTAGGCAATCTAAACTGTATTTTGTACTTTGATAATTTTCGAGTGGAAAAAAATCAAAGGGACTGAATCATAAAGATAAAACACAGCATAATGGAGGTAATTGCTCCAGTGCAAGGGATTGGGGGAGTTGTAATTAGGCCTTAATTAATTGAAAGGCCGCTGCAGTTAATGGCAATTGACTTTCTGAACTCGGTTCTTCAAAAGAAGTCTCATTACTTGACAATGTCAAATACATGCATTCAATATTATTTAACCTATTTGCGCTTATCTCTGGGTGCAAGTCCAACATCATTGATTGTAAATAATCTATTCAAAAAAACAGTAAAAATAGCGAATGTCACTTGCCAAATTGATAAGGAGTATGAGAACCCCTTTGGCAACAAATTCCATCTGACACGATCAGTTTGAATGATGTGTTTTGTGTATTTTTCTAAAGGGTATAAGACTTATAATTATAATTAATTAATAAATGACTGATTATGATTAAATATTCTGATGATCACAGAGCGTCATATTTCTGTAATGTAAGTAGTTCAGGCACAGCTTATATCTGACATTAAATCTTGGACTTATAGTTTTACTGCAAACTTTCTTTAATATCTTAAGATATGATATTAAAGAGTTTGGAAAAACATTAAATGAAATTAATGATAAAACTTATAAAATTATTGCAGCTGATAGCAAAGGTTCCTTTCTCTTTAAACGTTTTAAGCCACGATTAAAACTATAATAAGTCATACCTATACCGTTGCTTTGTTACGAAACCTTTTAATTTTTTTTTTATTTTCTGTGCATGCTAATTACTTGGAAAGTAATTAGAAAATAACCGTAAGTCATGTGCAAACTAAAACCGCTATAGACCAGAGAATTTCTCGCTCTCTTTGGCTGCTCATTTCACTTGTCTATCAATTGTGCGGTTTTTCGTGTCTTTTTTTTGTTGATTTTTGGGAGGTTTGGGAAAACTTGGCCAACTCTGGCCTTAACCAGTTTTTTATGTTTTCCTGAGCGCGCGCCAAAAACCGAAAACTAAAAAACCAGCAACAACGTGAAATGCACATTCAAGGCTATAAGCCAACAATAATACGCCAGTAACAACAACTAAAAGTAAACTTGCTCAGAGGAACTGGTTTTCTTCTCGTCTTGTCTTGTATTTTGTACTCGCACTCGCGGTTTGCTTTCTTTTTTCATATATATTTTTGTTGGTCTTGGTTTTGTAAGTCGGAGTATATGTATGTTGGCCAAAAAAAACAAAAATCTGCCCAGACCAAAATGCTTATCACCCGGGGTCCCTCTCA